TAACAATGCTCTCTAGAATTTCACTGTGTACACTACTATAGTAATAATTCATATTTTATTTCCAACCATTAAAATTCTCCAGTAAATGCAAGGTCTATTTTCAATTTCCGAAATATATATATCCGGGCAGAATTACGATCCATTTTGAGAGTAATGTTCAATCAAAGCCACCGAATTGGCATCGCAATTATTGCCATAATTGCTTAGTCCAGTGGAGTGAAACTGGCAGAATCCTTCCGAAATATGCTGCTTTTATTTTCCACATTCATCATTCCTTCATTCTTCATACTTCATACTTTTTATAGTCCAAAATAGCTCTATTATTCTATATAGTTGAGAAAAGAATGAGCTTGGAAAATCTTGAGAAACTTTCACTCTTCCATGAAATACGAACAACAAAAGTGATAATCCTTTTTTTTTGTCCTCTTGAAAATCTGTTTTCTCTCTCTCTCTCTCTCACTCTCTCTCTCTGGAGGCGAGCATGCATTTCATCAACTCTCAACATTTTTTAACTTTTCCTATAAACTTGCGCCTTTCTTCTGTTCAACATTGTAAATGAGTCGCTTCTTCAATTGTCTTCAATTTAAAGAGTTCTATTAACAATAAAATTTTGCAATTCATAGTAAATTGTAAATTGTAAATTGAAAATTGAAAATTGTAAATTGTAAATTGTAAATTTTAAATTGTAATTTGATAATTGTAAATTGATAATTATTATAAATTGTGTAAATAGTAAATTTTAAATTTTTACATTTATTATTTTGAATTTTGAAAGTTTGAAAAATAATATTTCATATCTTTTTTATTTCAGTGCGGGAATAAAGTTTTTAATGCAAAAAAAAAAAAAAAAAAAAATTGAACGAAAAGGCACAAGTGATCGATTTTGCTTATCATAAAACAGGGGCAATAAAGATTAGGACTTTACTAAAACTGTTCTCTATCAAAGAATAAACTTAACAGTGAACAGTCACGAAAATTTCGTTTTCTTCTCCAACTTAATATTTATGATCATTTTTAGGGTATATTTTGCCAAAAGTAATGATAAATGAAACATGAATCATATATTTTAATAGCAACATTTGGAATTTTTTCGCAATAATTTACAATCGCAAATAACCATTTCTGTTATTTATGGATTAATTTTTGTGTATTTTTTGTTTGCCCCATAAACTATGAAATTACTATTTCTAACAATAATTTATTTTCATAAATAACTTAAATCTTGAACAACTATCATAAAATAAATAAATTATTTAATGAATAATTTTACTTAAATATCTCAAATAAATTAATTGAATTTAAAAAGCTGCGTTCACCATTTTCATAAATAAATAATCTTCAAATGGACTTAATTCAAAATTTTGTAACTTAAATTTTCAATGAATTTAATTAGAAATTTTAAAGATCTTAGATTAATGAAAAATTTTAATAATTCAATATCTTATGAAATTAATAACATTTTTTAATATATATTTAATAAATTATTAAAAATAATGGATTTACAGAAGAGTTTTATTTAAAAACAAAAAAAATTAAAAATGATCAAAAACTCGAAAAACCGAATTTTTTTAAATTCAACATTTTTTCTTCTGTTTTATCGCACTTTGCTTCATTATTTTTTAGCTCTTAAAAAACACTTTACTTATTTAATAGTTTCCATCCTTTGGTAAAAAAATTTACAATTATAAAAATTTATCAAAAACTTGAAAACCCGAATTTCTTAAAATTCAAAATTTTTTCTTCTCTTTTGTGGCATTAGGCTTTATTATTTTTGTGCTTTCGAAAAATACTTTAATTATTTAATAGTCTCCACTTTTTGGTAAAAAGTCTAAAATTATCAAAAATTCGATAAAATTCAAAAATCCGATTTTCTTAAAATTCAACATTTTTTCTTCCCTTTGTGGCATTAGGCTTTATTATTTTTGTGCTCTTGAAAAATACTTTACTTATTTAATAGTCTCCACTTTTTTGTAAAAAATTTAAAATTATCAAAAATTCGATAAAATTCAAAAATCCGATTTTCTTAAAATTCAACATTTTTTTTTCTCTTTTATGGCATTTGGCTTTATTATTTTTGTGCTTTCGAAAAATACTTTACTTATTTAATAGTCTCCACTTTTTTGTAAAAAATCTAAAATTATCAAAAATTCGATAAAATTCAAAAATCCGATTTTCTTAAAATTCAACATTTTTTCTTCTCTTTTGTGGCATTAGGCTTTATTATTTTTGTGCTTTCGAAAAATACTTTACTTATTTAATAGTCTCTACTTTCTGGTAAAAAGTCTAAAATTATCAAAAATTCGATAAAATTCAAAAATCCGATTTTCTTAAAATTCAACATTTTTTCTTCTCTTTTGTGGCATTTGGGTTTATTATTTTTGTGCTCTTGAAAAATAATTTACTTATTTAATAGTCTCCACTTTTTGGTAAAAAATCTAAAATTATCAAAAATTCGATAAAATTCAAAAAACCGAATTTCTTAAAATTCAACATTTTTTCTTCTCTTTTGTGGCATTAGGCTTTATTATTTTTGTGCTTTCGAAAAATACTTTACTTATTTAATAGTCTCTACTTTCTGGTAAAAAATCTAAAATTATCAAAAATTCGATAAAATTCAAAAATCCGATTTTCTTAAAATTCAACATTTTTTCTTTTCTTTTGTGGCATTTGGGTTTATTATTTTTGTGCTCTTGAAAAATAATTTACTTATTTAATAGTCTCCACTTTTTGGTAAAAAATCTAAAATTATCAAAAATTCGAAAAAATTCGAAAAACCGAATTTCTTAAAATTCATCATTTTTTCTTCTCTTTTATGGCATTTAGCTTCATTATTTTTAGGCTCTTGAAAAACACTTTACTTATTTCATATCCTCCACCCTTTGGTAAAAAATTTAAAATTATCAAAAATTTGAAAAACCGAATTTCAATTATTTTTCAAAATTTTCCTCAATTCGGTTCTTTTTAATATCTACTATTTTAATCAAACTTTCCAAATGAATTCAATTATTTAAAAAAATTTTAATATACAATTTTACGCAAACATTCCATTATTTTCATAAAAAAAATTTTTATAAATTTCTTCGCAATAATTCAATTATTTTTATAAATAATAAAATTTTTTACAAGGATTCAAATTATTTGCATAAATTTTAATAAGAACTTTGCAGGAATTCAATTATTTACAAATTTTTTATAAATTTCTTCGCAACAATTGAATAATTATTTTCATAATTAATAATTTTTTTTTTAAATAAAATTCCTTATGAGAATTCAATTTTTAAAAACATTCAATTATTCAATAAATTATTTATTTTTATATTTAAAGAATTGAATTCTCGTAGAATTTTCTCATAAAAATGGATTTAAAAATAGATCGAAGTTAAAATTTTAGATAATTGAATATTAAAACATTACAGCTTGAATTTTTAGAAATAATTGAATTTTCAAAATTTTTCACATTAAAATATTTGAAAATTAGAATTTTTCATTCAATTTTCGTAAATAATAAAAATTTCACAGGAATTCAATTATTTTCATGAATTCTTTTTAGGAATTCAATTACTTTAATAAATAATAAAACTCATCGCAGAATTTCAATTATTTTTAATACAATTTGAATCGAATTCTTCGAAAAATGTTTTTAAAAATTTTTTTTTAATTTTATTAAGTAAATTTTGTCAAAAGAATTTAATTATTTAAAAATTTGTTGATAAAATTCCTTATGAAAATTCAATTTTAAGAAACATTCAATTATTCAATAAATTATTTTTTTTGTATTTTATAATTGAATTCTCCTAGAATTTTCTAACAAAAATTGATTTAAAAATGAATTTCAGTCAAAATTTTAGATTATAATTGAATATTAAAAGCATTATGGCCTGAATTTTTAGAAATACTTGAATTTTGAGATGGTTTCAAATTAAAATCTTTGAAAATCTGAATTTTTTACACTTTTAGCTAACAATTCTGTAGAATTAATTATTTTGAAAAAGTTTAATTGAATTTTTTTTGTGGAAATTATTTGTATTTTTTATTTTTATAAAATACATTTTAATTGAAGAATTTCCGAATAATAGAAATTTCACGTAAAATTGAATTGTAATCAAATGGATTTAAAAATTCTCAAAGAACTTTTTCAATAATTAAATTAAAAATAATTGAATAATTTTACAATGCAAGAAATTCGTAAATAAATGTAATAGAACATTTTTTTGAGTATCTATAATCATGTTTAGAGTGAATCAGAATATTTTTCACAATATATACTTACGAAAATCGGAAAATAAATAGGGTACGATTTTCGATATATTTAAATCTTCCAGTGAATTGATTAAATCATCAGATTCTTCAATATTATTCTTGTCGCTGATAGTATGGAATTCAACGTTGATGAAAATAGCAAAAATCCAAATAAAAGTGTTGTCAAAGCTATTCTATCGAATAATCTACTCACGTCAGAAGGGACCGAAATTCCCAACATCAATTCTAGAAAGTGCAAAAATCGCAAAAAAAGCTTTTATCAAATTTCAAAGTCCAAAGAATCAACCAAATGGAAAATATAAAAATGCAGGTTAATATCATTATCTAAATACATATTTCGAACTTTAATAGATTTTTAGGTTTCTTCTTTAAAATTGCCAGCAAGAATTTACAACCTGAAAGTATTGTAAAAGCGTTGTTATATATTTTCATTGTGAAGGTTTTGAATTTACGAATGTAAATTCAAAACTTTCAAAATGAAAATATATATGAAAATTTGATACTAAAAAATAAAAATAATAAAAAATAAAATTAATCTAAAAGACAAAAAATATCTGTTCCATTAAGGGGCGATTTCAGTAATTTAAAATTCATGTCGGTTGATAAAGTTTCAAGTACCCGATGATGATGATTCACATTTATTTTCGTTATTTTTGTATAATTGCATTTATTTATCGTTAGAGGCATGAATTGTCTATTTAAAAATATATTGAAAATTAAAAATAATATTTTAACATGTATAACCTGTATATATATTATATTATATAAATCAAAAAAAAGTACAATGATTCCATGACACATAATTACAATATACCATGATTTCCTTCAACAATTCGAATGAACCGATAATTTTTTTCGCAAAAAATACTAAGTGAGTCTCGGTTTGTCGACATATTGCTTTCCATGATGGACAATCGTTGCAAATGTTCCAGCCACCATACCACCCCAAAAGAGCATATAAAGTAAGACTTCCGTCGTATATCGCGACGGTAGAATAACATGTGCAACTAGCATGGCCGATGCGACCAATAGAACAAGTGGGAATGTAGCGTAACGCCAATTTCTCTCTGATTCGAGAGGACACTTTCTCGTTGAACACTCGTCGTCTTGAATTACATAACGTCCCAAAAAGAGTTCAATTGAATCCTAAAAAAAAATTCATTTCGAAAATTAGTAATCTCATTCATAACAAAATAATGTTAATGTTTTCGAAAAAGTCAATTGTAAAATACCTGTCGGTAACCGTCAGCAAAATTGTTCTTATAATATCGCGTCATCGAGTTGATGCCATCTTTTATTGCCCCAAGTTTCGTACGTTTACCTGTACGAGTAAAATCCGTTTTCAATGCACTTGTTCCAGAGTATTCTATACTTATTATGTCCGCATTGTCGGCCCATACCTAAAAAATTAGATGTTAGTTTAATAATTTATAGTTTATACATTATTCGTGTAATGCATGTAATTAAACCAAATTTTCAGGTTTAAAATTATTATCTTTATAATTTTTGGAGTAAAAGTACAAAAAAAGAATAAATTATTACGATAAATTATCAAGCATGAACTTTTTAACAAGCAGTTCCCGTTTTCAGAAAAATTTTTCCAGTACAAGACTACAGCAATTCAATTATTTCCGTAAGTAATAAAATTCATTGCTGAAATTCAGAAGAATTCAATAATTTAATAAAGATTTACAACAGAATTCAATAATTTAAAAAAATTCGTCTCAAAAAATTAAATTTCTTTTCATAAATAATAAAAATATCGCAGAAATTCAATTATTTCAAATACAATTTTCATTAACTTTTATGAATAAGTAAATTAATGAAAAAAATTTTATAAAATTCTCCGAATGAAAATATTTTAAAATAATTTTGATAAAATTTTTTTATAAGAATTAATTTATTTTCAAATACAATTAATGAAATTTAATTCCAGAAAGTAATTGAATTATATTTAAGATTTAAAAAAAAAAATTCTTCAAAAACACATTTTAATAAAATTCATTGCAAGAATTCAATTATTTTCAAAAATAATAAAATTCTTAGCAAAAATTCAATTATTTTCGTAAATTTAAAAAAAAATCTTCACAGAAATCAAATTATTTTCATAAAAAATAAAATTTTCCACATAAATTCAATTATTTTCATAAATCGTTCAATTCTTAGAAAAATTTCAATTATTCTCAAATAATTTAACAAAATTTTTCATAGAAATTCAATTAATTAAAAAATAAACTGAAATTCTCAGCATGAATTAATTTATTTTCGAAAATTAAAAAAAAATTCCATACAGAAATCCAATTATTTTTATACAAAATAAAATTTTCCACATAAATTGAATTACTTTCATAAATCATTCAATTCTAAGAAATAATTGGATTATTTTTAAGTAATTTAACAAAATTCTTCACAAAAATTCAAATGTTTTCATAAATAAAAAAAAAATTTCACAGGAATTCAATTACTTAAAAAAATTTATTGAAATTCGTTGACAGAATTCAATTATTATCATAAATAATAATATTCTTCACAGAAATTCAATTATTATCATAAATAATAAAATTCTTCACAGAAATTCAATTATTTAAAAAAATGTATTCAAATTCGCTGACAGAATTAAATTATTATCATAAATAATAAAATTCTTCACAGAAATTCAATTATTTAAAAAAATTTATTGAAATTCGTTGAAAGAATTCAATTATTTTCATAAATAATAAAATTCATTGCAAGAATTCAATTATTTTTAATACAGTTTTCAGTGAATTATAGGAAATACTTGAATTATTCTTTTTAATTTTCATAAAATTCTTTAAACAAATCAAATTATTTAGAAACATTTAGTAAGATTCTTTTGCAAAAATTAAATTATTTTTAGAAATAAAAAAATTGTTCACAGAAATGGAATTATTTTAAAAAATTTACTGAAATTTGTTGCAAGAAATCAATTATTTTCATAAATATTAAAATTCCTTACAGAAATTCAATTATTTAAAAAAATTTACTGAAATTCGTTGCAAGAATTCAATGATTTTTATGAATAATAAAATTCTTCACAGAAATTCAATTATTTTTAATACAATTTTAGATTATAATTTATTATTAAATGCGTTCTAATACGAATTTTTATAAATAGGTAAATTTAAAAAAACCTTTACATTAAAATTATCAAAAATTTTAATTTCTTTGGAAAATTAAGAATATGAATCTTAAAGCTACTATTTGCCCCTTTTTTAAAATTAATTATTGAGTGCGAAGCCTGCTATAGAAAAAACATAATTACATATATTTACCTGTTTGAATAAATTTTCCAACTGTGGATGTTCCTCCACACTTCTGAGAACCTTCAGTTTAGATAGAGCATCAGTGAGTACTCTCTTGGCGAGCATACTTTGAACGACGTTCGTTCTGTCCAGACAATCGATGCAATTAGTGCGAAAAACACCATCTTGCACCGAGAGCAATGCACCGTCTCTAGTCAATAAAAAATAACTAATCTGCTCTCGATCATGAGCCAATCGATCCATCAAAATCGTCAGTCGATCCCATCGCATTTTTCGACACTCGGCATGAAAATCAAAGGATTCAAGTCGCACATCCTGATGTCCTATTCGATTCACAATATCACGATATGCTCTCTCCAATTCACCTTCTGCTCCAGTGTGATCGATCTAGAATAGAGATAAATTGATTAATATTTCAACTTAGCAATTTTTTGAAAAAAGCCAAAAAAGTCTGTTGAAAAAGAAATAATTACCAAATTAACTAGAATTTGTTTTCCATAATGAAATATTTGTGCTTCAAAATGTCTTGTACATGCGGTTTGATGATCTTCATGAGGAATTAATTGTGGCTTTGGTTTGTACTTGAGGTTTGGCGCTTGTTGCCAATAAAGTGGAATTGATCCACGAGTTTGTACAAAGGAACTCCGATCGCCGTTCACTTCGATTAATTGTTCTGTTTCAACGTAATTTGAAACATTGCCATTTCCATCTATTCCCCTAGAAAATAATCTTGTACCAGCTCGTTGAATACTTCTTCGTGAAATAATTCCCCAGTTAAATGCAATGCCATTGATCACAATCGTATTCAATGAAACAACTATTTATTCTTGTTAAGGTTCACTATTTTATATCACAAAAATTTCAAAAAAAACACCTTTTTCTTTTTTTACCTGTACTATTCATTTTTCAGTTATATTGATCATTTTTTTTTTTTTTTTTTTTGAAAAAGGATACAACCATGAATAATTGGCAAGCAGAATTTATGCTGCTCTGGTCTGGAAGTTAATTCCTGCAACATGTACGAATTCCATACAAATCGAGGATCTGCTCTATCGTAAAGTGGCATCTAAAATAAAGGAAAAACGATATTAAATCAATTTTAAACCGATTTCACAATATTTCAAATAATTTGGTTTAAAAATTTAAGAATACCTGTAAAAATTCTGGATTCGTATTGTGTAACCTTTGCATTGTATGACTGAGATCATACGTATAACTGAAATAAAAGTGAGGTGTATTTAACACGGATTTGATCATCTCCAGATACGTGGCATTATTTTGCTTCTGTCGTTCATTTAAATGTAGCAACGATCTTGCATAGGGTATAATTTCGGTTGAAACTATCTTGAAAATTGTTTGTCCTGCTATCGTGCCAATTCTTTCTGCACTCGTAATGACAACGAGATAACGAGAGGCTAATAGCCTTATAGTTCCCACGATACCCCATATTTTTCGCCTACTCGCCGTTTGGGGAATTTGACTCGCTGTACCAGCTGAAAATAAATATTTTGTTCAAATTATCGAAAATTTTTAAATATCTACTTATTTTTTAGCAGTTTACATTTTTACTCTGATGTAAAAACTCAGGGTGATCACAACTTTCAGTTTATCAATTTCTCTGACAATTTAATGCAATTAAAATTATTTTCCCTGCCAAAATTATAAATTTTAACAAGTTCTAAAAATTACAATTATAATCCTTCCTGAATACAATTATTTTCTACAATTTTCAACTGAAATTTATCTCTAAATCAATTATTTTAAATAATTTTACGAAATTTCTTCTAGAATTTAATTATTTAAATACAAAAACTCAAAACTTTCCATGTTTTTTTTCTTAAGTTATTAAGATATAATATTTTCAAAAAATTATATTAAAGCAATTTTTACAATTAATTTTTTTAAAATCTATATTAATAATCGTTCTATTCCGGTAATCTGTTCGCAGTTTGCTTTTTTGTTTCCTAACTTTTGAAATAATTTCCCTCTTTAAATGTTTTCAATTTTAAAATTAATGAAATAAAATTTACAAAGAATTTTATTAAAAACTTTTGAGAATAATTGAATTGTTTAGAAAAATTTTATTGCAATTTTTAAAAATAATTAAACTTATCTTGAATATAATTCAATTTTTTCCTAGAAATTTTATTAAAATTGTAATGAAAATAATTGAATTTTTATTACAGCTCTTGAAAATAATTGAATTTAAATAATATTTTTAAAAATAATTGTATTCTTTCGTGAAATTTTATTAAAATTGTATTGAAAATAATTGAACTCCTTTGTAGAATTTTATTATTTATATAAATAAGTATTTTAATTCTTGTGAAAAATTTTCTTATTTATGAAGGAATTTTATTAAAAATTTTGAAAATAATGATTTTTTAAAAAGATTTACATTAAAAGTGGCGAAAATAATTGAATTTATATTAAAATTCTAGAAAATAATTGAATTTAATTAATATTTTTGAAAGTAATTGTATTCTTTTGAGAAATTTTATTAAAAATTTTGAAAATAATGATTTTTTAAAAAGATTTACATCAAAAGTGTCGAAAATAATTGAATTTATATTAAAATTCTTAAAAATAATTAAATTTAATTAATATTTTTAAAAGTAATTGTATTCTTTTGAGAAATTTTATTAAAATTGTATTGAAAATAATTGAATTCTCCCGAAACATTTTATTATTTAGGAAAATAATTGAATTCTTTTGTAGAATTTTATTATTTATGGAAATATTTTAATTCTTGCTAAGAATTTTCTTATTTGTGAAGGAATGTTATTAAAAATTTTGAAAATAATGATTTTTTAACCAGATTTTTATAAAAATTGTCGAAAATAATTGAATTTATATTAAAATTCTTGAAAATAATGATTTTTAACCAGATTTTTATCAAAATTGTCGAAAATAATTGAATTTATATTAAAATTCTTGAAAATAATTGAATTTAATTAATACTTTTAAAAATAATTGTATTCTTTCGAGAAATGTTATTAAAATTATATTGAAAATTTGAAAATAATTTAATTCACACGAAATTTGGTATTTTGTTGCAATATTTGGAAAAAAAGTAAAAAAAGTCGCAATTTTTGAAAATAAATCGAAAAAAGTCTCAATTTTCTTAATTTCCCTGACAAAAAATGTTTTTTCCTTGTCATTTCCCTGACTTTACTGACAAAAATTTTGATTTAAATTTTTTTTCCTGACATTTCCCTGACTTTAATGACATGTGGTCACTCTGAAACTTTTGAAGTTCACAATAGACTCTTTTATGTCCTAATGTTGAAAATAATACAATAGATTTCATTATATTATAATAGTAAAACAATAGTACTCATTCTTACCTTGTGTGTAAATTTGTTGACTAACTCTATCAACTACAAGTAATACTTTAGTTCCTACTGGCTCTATGTAAAATTTTTCAGGAGTTGCATACCTAAAAAATATTTGAAAAAACAAATTCGTTAAAAAAAAGACTGAAAAATCAATAGTTTTAGAAATTAAAGATGACAATGCGTCTCTCGTATAAATTATAATTTTTTTATTAACCGAGATGATATGAAATAATACTCACAAGTACAAATCATCGTACACATCAGTATTTATCGTCATTTTTGCTGATTATAGTGTTAAGTTGAATTAATTACACGAATATATATTGAAAGATGAAGGAAAATTACGTAGATAGCACTGATAAAATTTATAATTGTTCTTGGATAACTTATTTACAAAATTTAACACTTATATTTGATTAATTAATAAAAAATTGTCAACTAGTGTAGATGGCCATGTTGATATTTTTAATTTAAAAGTTGGAAACTATAAAAAAATAAATAAAATGCACACTGACAACGTAGAGTTAAGTGACGTCTATAAAAAAATATCAAACGTACATCTGACATTTTGATGATGACGTAATGTAAGGTTAGGTTAGGAACGTGAGTAACGACATCTTAAGATTTCTCGAGAAACGTTACAATTTAAAAATTGTTTATAAGTTTAAATGGTTTAAATTAAATTTTATGAATTAACAATTGTTTTCTCGTTCTCGTTCTTCTCAAAAGAATGGATTTTTCTTATCATCATAAATAATTAGTTGTTGAAAATAAAAATTGTGGATAATGTACCTGCTGAGGCGGTATCTGCAGTTGGTATACCTTTTGAAATTGGCGCCATTTTTGCCAGTCACATGTATGTCGGGTCGTCGTCAACATTCAGTTTCAATCAGTGTTCCATTCAGTTGCATTTTTGCGAGAAATTTTACAAAATTAAACGAATTTTCGATCAATTTTGAGTGTTTTAAGTGGTTTTCAGTGAGCTACCAATCTTCTTAGCCTGTAAGTACCTGAAAACTTTATTGACAATTGAAAAATATTGAAAAAATGGGATAAATTCTTGCACATGCAATGAAAGGTTATATTCTCTAGATCGTCAATTTTATGAATTTTCGTAAAACAGTAATAATTATCATTATAAAAAAAGAGTAATTACAAATCTTTGTCATGTTAATAAAAGAAGCAATAGATGAAAGTATGAACACATTTTTAGCCATAACACAATTTATTTTTTTAATATACATAATGGAAGGTTTAATAAAGTTTGGATCACTAAAGTTTCAATTCACTTTAAATTCCGTACTTAACAAAACGATACAGTTAAATTATAGTCGGTACAAAAATAAGAAAATAAGAAACAAAGATTTCTTTTTAGAACGGGAAAATTATTTCCTTTCGAAATAAGGAAACCAAACAAATGTAAGTTTGAAACTGTTTAAATAAAAATTAAACAGATTTGATATTAAACAATGTTATTTACATTCACTTTTTACATCTGGATTGACGATATCAGCAAACAATGCTTTTGTTTTCTCATCCTTCCCTTGTGATTCCGACCATTCTTTCCTGCTTCTTGCAAATAGAGGAACGTTGAATTTTGTCGAAATAATCCTTCCAGTTTTACTCGATCGAAGTGATTCTCCGGCTTTTGTTAATTCCTCCATAATGATAATTCTCTGATTTTCCTTCGCCTTCTCCCAAATTCTCTCCAAACTCCTCGAACCATGTGTACTGCAAGCTAACTCAACCCAATAGCCCTGCAATTTCTTCGCCAATTTTTCACGACTCTTCTCCCCAATATATTGACTACTCATAAAACAATTAACAATTCGACTACCGTGCATATCACTGAAAATAAAAGCAAGTTCCTCAGCGTCAGCTTCTAAAAGTGAATTAACAATTTTTATAGGTTTATTAAAATTCAACATCTGTTGAACAATCAAACTTCCATGTAATTGTAGAGGAACAATTTGTTTCTCCTTTCTTGCTTGTTCCAATTTTTCAAAATTTACCAAACTTGCAGTGAGTCGTGCAATTTGTCCTTGTCTTGCAGCATCTTCACAATGCAGAATTTTCATCAAACAATTAATGAATAGTCCCTGTTTTGTATGTAATCGCGAACAAGCTTCCGCCACACTAAATAAGACACCGGTAAATTTCCTTTGTAAAATCATTTCAAAATGATTTGAAATCTCGTCGAATATGTCGTCAAAAATTTCTTTTGTACCACAATTTTCGAGTAAACGTTGAACACAAAAATTCGCCTTTCCCATTATGCTCAACTCTCCCAATTTATTGATGAAAAAACGTTTGTATATTTTCTTAAATGTTTTAGCATTCGAGACGACGAGACAAACTTCAATTAATCTTGCCGATGATTCGGTTTCAAGAAATCCGGTTAAATTTCCACTATCGTCGGCTGTAAATGATTCGGTGATTATTTTTTTCACGATCGTTGAACATAGATCAGAATCGACATCTTTTAGTGAATGTAAAACTGTTTGTAATAGTCCAGACGTGAGTTCGTGATGTCCAAATTCTAAAAATTGAGGCCAACTGCAAAAAAAGAAAAATTAAATTAAATAAATAATAAAATTTTCCACAGAAATTCAATTATTTTCAAAAAAAATCAAGTTTTCCACATAAATTCAATTATTTTCATAAATCATTCAATTCTTAGAAAAAGTTCAATTATTTTTAAGTAATTTAACAAAATTCTTCACAAAAAATCAATTATTTTCACAAATAAAAACATTCTTTGGAAGAATTTAATTATTTTCATAAGTAATAAAATTCTTCGGAAGAATTCAATTATTTCCTGAAATTAAAAAAAAAATTCTTCACAAAAATTCAATTATTTTTATAAATTGTTCAATTCCTAGAAAAAGTTCAATTATTTTCATGTAATTTAACAAAAATTCTTCACAAAAATTAAATTATTTTCAAAAATACTAAAATTCTCCACAAAAAATCAATTATTTTCAAAAATAATAAAATTCTTAGCAAAAATTCAATAATTTTCAAAAATACTGAAAATCTCAGAAAGATTTCAATTATTTTCCAAATTGAAAAAGGAAAATTCTTCACAGAAATTTAATTATTTTCATAAATCATTCAATTCTTAGAAAAGTTCAATTATTTTCATGTAATTTAACAAAAATTCTTCACAAAAATTCAATTATTTTTAAAAATACTGAAAACCTCAGCAAGAATTCAATTATTTTCCAAATTGAAAAAAGAAAATTCTTTACAAAAATTTAATTATTTTCATAAATAAAAAACTTTCTTTGGAAGAATTTAATTATTTTCATAAATAAAGTAAAATTCTCCACGGAAATTCAATTATTTTCAGGAATTTTATTAAAATTATTCAAAAGAATTCAGTTATTTTCTTCAAATTTGTTTAAATTCTTCGAAACAATTTAATTATTTTCCTAAAAAATTAATTAAGTTTGAACAATTTTAGTTAAAAGTTCCAAAAAAAGAACAATTGAATTTTTCAAGAATTAGAGTTATTTTTTTTTTGAAATAGTTAAATTTCAAAAAGTGTTTAAATTAGAATTATTAGTAAATTTAACTCCTGTGGAAAAATAAATAAGTATTTAAATTTTTCTTTAACAAAGATTATTAAATTTTTAAATAATTTAATTGCAAGAGTTTATGAAAAATTTCATCTTTTTTTTATGAAAATTCTAGGTAATTAAAATTTTTTTCGAAATTATATTTAAATTCCCGTAAATAATTTTAAAAAGTTTGAATTCAATATTTAGGTAATTAATTAGTAATTTTGTCAAATTTAATTGAAATAAATTTTATATTTTAAACAATTTTATTTTATTACTTTCAAAAATTATTTTTAAATACAATCGTATAAGAATTCTACATAAAAATTTGGAAAATAATTGAATTTCAGAAAAATTTAGAATTGAAGTTATTATTAGCAGTGTATGAAAAAACGTAAATGTTTTTTTTTATGGAAATCAGGAGAAAGAAAATTGTAAATCAAATTTTTGTGTATCGACTAAAAGGAGTTTTTTTAGACGTCAATTTTAATTTTTCGACAGCTACTTTTTTACTACTTTTTTGTTTTTTTCAGTCTTAAATCTACTTTTATTGATACTTTTTTTGAAAGTAATTTTTGAGTGCGAAGCCTGTTCTTGTTATTTTTTACTTACTTATGCATTCTTTTGCTACTATCGACGAGTAAATCGTGAAAAGATTGATCAACTTTTCGCACATTTTCCAAAGGGATGAGTGATTTTTTTTTACTGTGATCCGGTTTATCGACGACACCTCTTAAACATTGAAAAACAGTTCTAAGTACATGATTTGCATACGTATCCCAGGCGAATTCTTCCATATTATTTATCACGTATTTACATAATTTCAAAGACATGTCATTATATTTTTCCTTCTCTTCATCCTTAATTAGATCAGTTGACTTTTTTTCTAATTCACAACTACCTCGTTCGGTGCAAACACAAATTAATTTCTGTAGAACGTGACTCGCAAATCTATCGCTGCACATGGGTCTTAAATCATTTTGAAAAGCCAATATCATTCTTTTAATTGTCTCCAAATTTGCGTAATCCATGAGACTCTCAATTACTCGCGATCCAATTTGATTTCTCGCATAATCCACTTCGTGATCGATTGTTTGCTCATAAACATTATTTGCAAAAACTAATTTATCATCTATTGTTGAAAAATCATTTCTTATTATTTCCCATACGCGTAACATGTATTGATAGGCATCAGTTTCCAATTCACCAGCGTAATTTCGACTTCGTGCCATTTTTTTCATTATTTGATTATGTGAACGTTTTTTCTTACGTTTCAATGATTTTTTCATATCACCTGAATCTCCAGACATATTTATGCGATTTTTTTGAAACAATTTTTAAAGAAAAGACTCTTTTTGACTATAACGTTTACTTGAAGCGTTTACTTCGTTTACTCGCATAAAGCAACTAGATGGGAAACATAACCTCTTTAAAAAGCACGTGAAAAACAGCTGATGAATATATATATATACAATATATAATACTACATTAGCCAAAATGGCCAAAATGAATCAAAAATGGAAATTTTCCCTATTTTTCAAGATATTTTTTTATAATGAAAATGGAAACGTGCTTTCTTCAAAAGGACATATAATTCTAAAGGTAAACAAAAAATTATATTTTAGAATTATTTTTATAAATAACAAAATTCTTTGAAATAATTCAATTATTTTTTATTAAGAACAAAAATCTTTTCAATAGTTTAATTATTTTCAATCTGATTTTAATCAAATTTCTGGTAAGCATTTAATTATTTTTAAAATTTGTAATAAATTTGTTAAAAAAAAGAAATTAAATTATTTCATAATTATTATTATTTAAATTCTTCGAAAAAATTCAATTATTTTTATTAATGTAACAAAAATCTTTTCAATAATTTAATTATTTTCAATCCGATTTTAATAAAATTTCTCGTTTGTATTTAATTATTTTTAAAAGTAGGTATTAATAAATTTGATCAAAATAAATTGTAAATCAAAATAGAAATCAGTGTTTGAACAACTTATCATCGTTTATTATGGAAAAACAGTAATTTTACAATTTACAAATTGAAAATTAAAAATATTCAATTTACAAATTTAAAACATTCGATTTACAATTTTAAAATATTCAATTTACAAGTTTAAAATATTCAATATTTAAAATTTTTTTAAATCTCAAAATAGTAATTATTCGAAATTGTTTATTACAAAAAATTCTATAATTGCAAAAAATTGTGAATAATTATATTCGTAATTGTTAATTACAATTGTGTCATTTTTGAAGTTGTGACTTAAAATTCGAGTTTGAAATTTTTTTTTTGAATTCAATGACTTTACAATTTTGTAATTTGTTTGCCTTTTTGAATTTCGTTTATTTAAATCAAATTTTTCCTGATTTGAAAAATTTGTAATTTAAATTTCTGTTTTATTAAAATTATTATTTCCGTTTTATTATACTTTTCTTTTTTTTATTATTAATATGGGTACATTTATTTACAAAAAAAAATCGATACAAATCACAGTTAAATTTCAATGTTTTTTTTTTTTGTACAAAATTCTAAAGAAAAAAATCCGATATCTTTCTTTGTCCGAGTGTCTTTTTAGTTGACGTTGCAACAATTTCTTCCAATTTACTTTTCTTCATTTCATTCTTAACGCTGGGTATTGTTTTATCATCCAGTTTTTTGACATTAATAATTTCCAATTGATTCTCCTCGTTTGAATTATGCAATTCAGAGATTGATTCTGAATTTTTATTCGATTTCTTCGAATCTTCGTACATTGGTAAATCCCAAAGTGAAAGTTTCTTTTTTATTGGTGACGATGACGATGATGATGATGATGATGTTGTTTTATTTGTATCAGAATCTTGATTACAATTTGGTTTTTTAATAATTTTCTCAACTTTTGTTTCATTTGAATTATTCCTCGATGGGAAGTCAATTTTTTTCCCCTCACTGTCATTATTTATTATTTCATTCTCTTCTTTCGAATTGATTTTAATTATTTTCAATTTTGCGTCCTCATTTTCAATCCATTTCGCTATTATTTCGTCATTAATTTTTTCATTTTGTTCAGGTGATGTTAAACTATTTTCACGTTTTCTTTTCTCCGGTGTCTTCACATTTTTTACGTGGGTATTCAATTTTTTGAAGTAATTTGTAATTGGTTTCATTTTTGATCGATTATATAAGAAACGATAAAAATCCCGATCGGATCTTGACATTGATTCTTGATATTGTGAGAGGAGAGAGAATAATTGACCTGTAATTAAAATAATTAAATTTTTAGAAAGTGGAAAAATTGAAATTAAGAAAGAAATTTGAAAAAAGTTATTAGAGTTTGATAAGAAAATTAATAAAATTAATAAAATTAGATATTCAAATTCGTACCAATGTCAATGTTTTGCTGGACTAAATGCCAGTACATGTCAGAGACACTGTCCCTTAATTCAGCATCGCCGAATGTAAAATAAACAACATTTCGACCCGCGGAAGCTGCTGCCATTAATTGCAATAAGACCTTTAATTGTGGATTTCCGTGGAAAACGCCACAACCCCAATTTCCGGTTGCTACAGCTGGTACGTTTTCTTTCTGAGTAATGTTACTCTTAAATCCAATATAAGCCTAAAAAAGAAATTATTATTACAATTCTCATTTTTTTATTTTAATTTAAGAATTTTTTCAATTCTTTAAATTTACGTGCTTGAAAATTAAAAAAGAATAATTTTAGAATAATTTAGAAACTATTAATTTCTTTCACAAATACAGAATAAAAAACAATTATCTACAAATTTTGAACTTTAGGATCTTTTTTTACCTTGTTGAGTTCACGAATAACGTTACTCATTTTAAATTGGCTGCTGGGTTGCTTAAAAAATAGGGCATCAATGGCAACGACTGATGTTTTTCGACGACCACTATTGTCCCTTGGTGTTTCGTCGACAAAATCTCCAATCCATTTGAAACTACTACTATAACCTTCGTATTTACTAAATCGCTCAACACCACTAATAACCAATGCTTCCGTATCGTCGAGCACTTCCGTTACCAACATTGTCACAAATAATTCGGGACAAATAACAAAACGAATTTCCTCCTGAACACAACCCCAGCCAAGAACACCGCCTCCAACGTACCTGTTAAATTAATAATTAATAAATTATATAAAATACTTTTTATTAATTAACAAAATTAATGATTATTAACGCAGTATTCAATTTATAATTATTAGGTATGCAAATTACAAAATTTTTTATTTTCAATAATCAACTTCAATTTTTGAATAATTTTAGATTTGAAATTTTAAAAAATTCACTTAATAACTAATTAACTAATATTATTTATTATTTACATAGATTTAATAAAATTCCACACAAGAATTGAATTATTTTCGTAAATAATAAAATTATTTGCAGGAATTCAATTATTTTCATGAATAATAAAATTCTTTTTAGGAATTTAATTACTTTCATAAATAATAAATCTCATCGTAGAATTTCATTTATTTTTAATAGATTTTTTTTTAATTTTATTAAATTTCATTAAATTTCGTCAAAAGAATTCAATTATTTAAAAATTTTTTGATAAAATTCTTTATGAAAATTCAATTTTAAGGTACACTCAATTATTTAATAAATTATTTATTTTGTAATCAAATGGATATGAAAATTCTCAAAAGAACTTTTTCGAAAATTATTATAAATAATTGAATTATTTTACAAACAAATTCGTAAATAATAAAATTCTTAGCAGGAATTCAAAATGTTTAATTGAATTAAAAATTAAATTTAAGATTTTTAAATTTAAATAATTTTTGTAATTAATTTTTTTTTTTTAATTAAATTCTAATTTAATGTTTTTTTTTAAATGAAAATCTTAATTAACCTTATTAACTTAATTAACTTAAAAATCTTAATCTTAGAATGAAAATCTTCCAAACATTAAATTAGAATTTAATTTTTTTTTACATTCAAAGCATTTAAATTGAAAATTTATTATAAAAATTAGAAAACAAAAAAAACAAACATAAACAAGTAACTTGTAATGGCTAATAGACTTTTGTAATACAATGATTATTAATATAGTTTGAGGTTTAAATAAAATCTGATGTTTAATAATAACTTACATATTGGCAAAATCGACTTGAAGAAGTCCAGCTCCCTCGGTTTCAATTGTACCATTGCTTGCAATATGCAACAGGGGCAATTTTTCTGATTGTCGATCCCATCGGGGACATTCTTCTTTTGCAATGTATTTCCTTTGTATTGTGATAGTACCCTCAGGGGCTGAAACAAAAAAAAAGTTATCAATTTCAAGTAATTTTCAATTTAATATAAAAAATCTTGCACTTTTTATTTAGTAAAAATTTCTATCAACCTTTTGTTGTCACTCTTCTGAAATAGTGGAAAATACATTTCAATTTCTCCGACACTGAACTGCACTTGTCTTGGCGATTCTCCTTAAAGGCAGAGAAAAGTCTGCAAAAAAAGGTTTTTTTTTTACTATTTTCTATTTTTATTTTCGATTTTAATTCTTCATTCTTAATTTCTATCTTTAATTTCAATTTTTATTTTCAATTTTAATTTTTAATTTTAAAGATTGTAATTTTTATTATTAAAATGATAACTTTCCTTACTAAAATTATAATTTTCCTTACTTATTAAAATTGTAACTTAATTCTTACTTATTAAAATTAATATGCGGATAATTGGCATATTCCGATTGTGGATTTGTGGAATTTCTCCTTGGGAATGTGCACAAAAATGCGTTAGCCAACAAGGATGCAACTTGTATTTGACTCAAGCTTATCGATGCATTTGTATGACGTTTTAATAGAGGAATTGCCCCTGTTATTAAAGTAGGCAATTGTAGAGCCAATGCAATTATTTTTGGCAATAGTCCTGTAAAAAATGCCTCTGACTCATCTTCATCGACAACCTTTCAAAAAAAGGAGAAAAATAATAATTATTTTAATGACTCTCTTCTCTTTTCATATAATGAGATTTCCAGAAAATTTATACCTACCTCGGAAAAAAAATGATGTAAAGCTGAAAAATTCCATCTTTGAGCGTATTTATCATTGTAGGAAAAAATTGCCGCCTCCAATTGAAAGCTTGAGGTAAAACTTTGTAGAAGCGCTTCTTGAATTATTTCCCATCGACATCGTAATTCTTTCTTTTTACCTTCCTGTAAATTTAAAATTTGAAAAAATTACACAACTGAGCGTAGTAATTTGATATTTCTTTAGTTGATGAAATAATTTCTCTTATGTCCGGACTTCGGTTTTTGAAAATTCTTCGAATTTCATTGAATTCTCAACAATGGAAATTTTTCAAAAAAAAATTTACCTTTTCTATCGAATATAAACTATGAGTAGAATGGGGCATTCTAACAAAACCGGTACACCATTTGTCTATAGCATTCGCTGGATATGCTTTCGGAACTCCATGATCTGGTATTGGCAACTGTAATGCAATTATCAAAAGATAAATAAAATTAAACAAAAAAAAAGGTGCAAAATTTAACAATTGAATTATTATTTTCTGCAATTTTTAAATAAAATTCTTTTTAATAATTTTTGATAAAGTTCTTTTGAGAATGTTTAAATTGAATTCTTGTAATGAATATTGTTATTTATGAAAATAATTGACTTTCTCCGAATGATTTTAATATCTATGAAAATAATTAAATCTCTGATAAGAATTTTAAAATTTATGAAAATAATTGAATTAGGTACCGCGAGAAATTTAATGCCAAATTTTAAAACATTTGCTTTTTTTGGAAAAAATTTATGCAAATTCTATTTTAAATAATTGAATTCCAGTGAATTTTTTATTTTTTTGGAAAATAATTTAATGTTCATGTAGAATATTATCAAAAATTTTGTTTAATAATTGAATTCTTTTAGGAAATTTTATTAAAATAGTAGAATATGGAAAATCATTGAATTAAGAAAAATTTTTGAAAATAATTGAATTTTTGTGTTGAATATTGTTATTTATATAATTGAATTTTGCAATGAATTTTCTAAAAATTCCTGAAAATAATTAAATTTTAGCGAAGAATTTTTAAAGTAAATTATTGCCAGAAAAAGAAGAAATTTAAGGTTTTTTTAGAATCCTAATTCTTACGTTTAAAAATTAAAGGTGAACAAAATTTACCGCAAATAAAACAGTATGTGATGCTGAAGAATGTATTTGGGGCAACTCTTGGAATTCAAATGGTCTTCGACCTTTGTAAATTTCATCGAGACTGACTCCTTTCCATTCTGGTGAAGAATTCGAAGTATTTGCTTCATTGGAAACTAACTCTTCTTCTTTATTAAAAGAAAAAACATTAGATTCATTTAATCCGGGATCCGAGTCCGAAAACAAATCCGGAGACGAAACTTCCTCTTCTAAGTTTAATTTATCCGACATTTTGTCTTTGTTTCTGCAAGGCAAGAATTATTTACTGAATTTACCAATTTACATGAATTAAATACTCAAAAAAGTTCATTAGAAAAGTAAATTTTACAGAGTAAACATTTGATTATAAAAATTTAAAACGGATGAAAACAATAAATTAAAAATGTTTTTTCCCTTATTTTCTAAACAAAAGGAGAAAATTTAGATTTCTCGTTTAGAAATCGTAGAAAATAGTGTAATTGTCAATTTATTTATTTATAAACTTTAATACTGGATGCTGGATTTATTTTTTAAAATTTAATAAATCTTTGAGGTTATATTTGCCTATGAAAATTGAAATACTTACATTTTACTTGACCAATTTTTTTCTAGTATTAATTAAAATTATAATTAAAAGAACTTATTTTTCATCTTCTTTTTCATTAAATATTTTTCTTTTAAAACGTTTATATCACCTTAAAATTGTTTGCAATGTTGACAAAATTGATCCCAAAACATTACAAACAATTACAAAAAAAAATGTGTCAAAAAGTTCACGAGAAAAGTATACAGGTGGCACTGATTGTTTTTCAATTCCCGCCACATTTTTAAAATCTAAATAATTATTCTTCAACAAAAATAATATTTTTCGTCTGCTGTAAAAATAATTAATATTTTTTATTGTTTCAATTATATTATTAATTGAATTTTTCATTTTTTTTTTTGCATTTGAGATTCAAAATTACATTTGTTTCGCGCCAAGTGTAAATTGTTAATACGTGACGCCTGATTGGCTGACGATGTTGGAATAACACGTGAACGACCAATGGGCGTCGCTAATTAAAAACATTCTTGTGATTCTTCATCCGGCATTGTTGGAAAATTCATTTTTATTTTGACACCATCATCACCGCACGTGTGAACATCCTATATTATTAGGTTATAATTTACAACAATTACATTGATTTTTTGTGTGAAAGTAAAATTTGTAACAAAGATTAAATAATGGCTCAGGGAAAGTTAAAAGTAAAGACGAAAACACCGGCTTCTGTGAAAACTAAAGCGTCAAAAAAACAAAAAGGTCCAGCATCCCAACGAAGAGGAAGTGAGTTAATTATATATAATATTTCATCTAATCTACGCATTTTCTTTTCTTCCTTTGCACTTCATGACCTTGAACCAACAATAGTTTTGTATAGTTAATATTTTCATTTTTTTGTTGAATATATATTTCGCGGCGCAGAGTATTTTCGAACATAACCTATAAAAAGTTTTTTTTGAAATCCGAAATCAAAGTTGACTTTTAATTAGAAATATCACAAAATCAATTAGTTATTGATTACTGGAAGTAATTAAAACTCTTTTTTTTACTACTTTGTTGATTCTTATCATTCTTATGAAAAGATTTTTATAAAAATTCGAAAAATTCTTTATGACAATTTTTCGTAATTAAAAATTATTTTTAACGGAAACATTATTTCGGTTTTTGATATTAAGAATTAAGGTAATTGGGGTAAATAAACACAGTTCTCTTTGCAATGAATTCTATTTCACTTATAATTGTATTAATAATTGTTGACAAATTTAATGTGCTGATAATTAAATCACAAAATCTACATGGAACCTAATTATGACATTTTGTACAAATTTTGTTGCTTTTTTTAATTCCTGGAAAAGTGTTTTATTTTGGAAAAATTGTATTGTTTTAATACAAATTTAATTTTTTTGAAATTAAAATGTTTTTCAACTATTTTGTCAATTTAAATTAACAATTGAATTTCAAAAAAATTAAATTTGGAAAAAATTGAATTAAATTTGGATAAAAATGTTTTTTTTGAAATTCAAATATTTCACACAATATATTCAAGTCTTCTATTTTATATATATTTATGATAAACAATATAGTTTGTTTATCAAATGCTCATTATTTTTTTAATATTAGTTTAGATTGTATATATTTTATTAAAGAAATACTTGGCTTATTATTGTTACTTTATTTTTGTCTCCAATATTCAATAAAATGAATCTTTTTGAATATTGAAAATTTATATTACAATATTTTTCCGTATCAATTTCATAAAAAAATTCTTATTAATCTAACAGTCAAATATGTTTACAATTAAAGCCAAATATTTCTCATGAGAAACATTTAGAAAACATTTATATATTTTTCAATTTAAAATATCAATTCTTTCAACTTGATAATTTAAAGAAAAATAGAATTGAAACTATTTTTTTATACTATGGATAATATTGCCAATTTCGACTATGTATAATATATTTTTTAAATTCAGATAATATATTTATATATAAAAAAAATATAGAATAAACTTTAATTTCATAACGAACAATAAATTTCTAATTTCTAGATTAATTTTCAAATAAAGAGAATTGAATATATTTGTAATATCAATCATATTGATTTAAAAAAAAGAAAATAAAAATTTTTTAAAATTTTTCTTCTAATTGAAATTAATCAAGTTTATCACTGGATATTTTAATTATTTTTTTTTGCTCTGTCGATTGATTTTTAATCGGGTGAATCTTTGACGATTCGTTTTATTTTATCGTGTTTGATGGCCGTTCTTGAGATACGTCTTTGCCAAGTGTTAACTTTCTTTTTTTTCTCACGTAAACCCTCCAAACCTGTCAATATCTTTCGTTTTAATGTTTTTGGTGAACTACTGTAACAATGATCACTGTCAACGTATTTTTGTAGTGAATAAACGGAAAATTCGGTTCTCGGAATTCCAACGATTTGGCCTTTTAGCTTTTGATCAGTCGATATCTGTAATTGGGAATGAAAATTAATTTAATGTAAAAAATTAAAAGCAGAAAAATATATTTTAAAAAAAATTAAAAATAAAGAACTAGAGATTTTTTCAATTTCAAATAAAAATTTCTCAGGGATATTTTTTAACAAAAATATTTTTAATTCAACAGGGAATTTTTTTTAGTACTAAACTCAGAATGATATTCAATTTTTAAATTTTTGAACATTAATAATTTTTTGACATAAACTATTTTTACAAATACTAAAATTCTTTGCAGGGATTAAATAATTTTTAATCCAATTTAAATAAAATTACACGAAAGAATTTAATTATTTTCAAAAATTTCCATAAAATTCAATTTCAACCAGAATTTAAAATTCTCTAAAAATAATTCAATATTATTCTCAAAATATTTTTAAAAAATTCTATATAAAAATTAAATTACTTTCAATGCAATTTTTAAATATATTCGTTAAAAAAAAATTAAAAGAATTCAATTATTTTCGAAACAACTATAATTGAATTTCTCGAAAAAATTTCATTATTTTTAAATATTCCTATAAAATTCTTCATAACAATTTAATTATTTCTTAAAATTTTAATAAATTCTATGAAACATTTCAATTATTTTCATAAATAATAAAATTCTTCGCAATAATTCAATTATTTTTATAAATAGTAAAATCCTTTCCAGAAATTCAATTCTTATAAAAACAATTTGTAATTAAATTTTTGTTTTCAAGATAATTGAATTCTCGAGAATAATTCTAAAAATTGAAACATTTAAAAGTTTTGTCAAATTTCATTGCAATTAATTTTATATTTGAAAGAATTAAATTTAGTTCATTTTAAAAATTGTTTTCCAATATAATCGTATTTTTGACGAATCGAAAAATTATATTCAAAAATAATTCATTTTCATTAATGTTGATTAAATATTAATGTTTAATTTATGAATGAAAATGATTGAATTTTGCTATAGGGAAAATTTGTAAAAACCTAGAAACCCTGTCGAATTAATTTTTTACCGAATTATCAAATTGAAAATAAGTTCGAAATTCATTAAAATTATTTCTTAATTTTTGTCAAATAATATTTGTCAGAAATTAATTTAAAAAAATAAATTGTGATCGATTGTTTTTTTTTTCAAAATTGTGCCGTTAGTTATAGCAAAAGAAGGAGAGGGATAATTTTATTTTTTTCTCGTTCGATTAGAATTTTGTCATTTACAATTATTCTTACCTCATCATTTTTGGTTTCCACTTTATTTTTTGTTTGTAAATCTTGTACTAATTTCTCTAGGTACTTGACTCTTTCTGTAAGTTTATCATTAATTGTCACCAATTTCTCCAGATTTTTAACTTTCTTCAAAAGTTCTTCATTACTTGTTCTTAGTCTCATGATTTCTTGCTTTGAATTTAATTTCATTGTCGGTAATATCTGTTGGAAAGCGAAAAATTAATTTCTTCTTCACTTGAAATAATTTTCAATATTATTTTTCATTTAATTAAAATGTTAATAATATGAAAATTATTATTAACTTTTTATAAATTTATGTCTCTAGATAAAGATGAACGTTTGTAATCAACGATTTAGAAGAAACAATATTTTTCTTTTTTATACTTTTTTGCCGAAAAAAAAAATTTGTAAACATATTTTATTTTTATTTTTTGGCGAGGAAAATATTTATTTTCTTTCAATCGTTGATGATTAACGTTGTGAACTTTATCAAAGTAAATTTATTTAGTTACTGTAAATAAATTTAATTATATAATGAAAATAAAATTTATTTAGTAAATAAATGAATTTCTAAATATTTATGAATAAATTTATGATCCTTTGAGAAAATATATTTCGTGTTATTAATAATTGAATTTTGATTCGAAAAATGTGATGAAAATTAACCATTTTTGTGTCTGTTGTGATATTTTGAGTAATCTTTGAACTTCCACTTGTTCCAGCATCGAGATTTGGACCACGTTTGCAGAGAATCATTTTCACGTTCCCCTTTGTTTTGACATTACGCAAAAGATTGACTGCCATTATATTTTTCACCTCTTGTTTTATTATTTTTTGCTTTTCGCTCGTTACTTGCTTTATTGGCGTTACATCCGTTTCTTTTTTAATCACTAAATTGGAAAAATCTAGTTTCAATATATTATTCTTATCATCGTTTTCAGTTGTTGTGCAGATAATAGTCTCACTTTTATTTGTCTTTACACTTGAACTTGTTGTCATTTCTGCGGTATTATCCACCTTGAAGAAAAAAAATTCAAAACACTTTTTGACAAAAAAAAAAACGAAAATGTCAACATTTTTAGGAAAAATTCATTTTATTCTTATTTACTTTCAAAAATGAAAAATGGAAAAGTAAAAAAAATACTAACGCCAGTTGGTTGTAAATTAAGACACGGAATTGCCTCCTTTCGAAGTCTCTTTCGTTTCCCACTGCTTCGAAAATCATCTGGCTGAAAATGAATACTGCAAACGCGATGCTCCTTTTTGGGTGTCCAACTTTCCTTGTTTATTGCTTGGAGCCATTTTTTTAATCTGATAGGGTCCTCTAGTGGAAAACTGTCGAGAGAAAGGAGAGAAGGGGAAAAAAGTGAAACATTTTTTGGAATTTTCCATTTTCTTTTTTTTTTCTTTATGAAGAACGAGATAAATTTTGAACAATGGAGGGAAGAAAATTTACAATTTCAATATTATATTTAGAAAAAAAAAGATATGAGCAAGGTTATTAAAAATGGATCACTCTGTTGTAAATTATTATCAAAGAGTTAACACTTGCCTATGAAATGAGAGCATACAGTCTTTGTAACTTTTATTTTGACATCCTTCTGCACTACAGACTCCCATTTTGTTTGTTTTTTTTCCTCACTTCTTTTCCCTCTTAACTCTGATGTGTACAATGAATAAATTGCGTATTGAGTTGAAATTTTGCTTTCGTCGTCGTGTAAATAACTCCATAAACATGAAATATTTTGATTATTCAATTCGATTGTAGATGGGAAAGTTGAATTTAAGAATTTTATATTTAAAGCGATTTGGAATTATCAGTTTCAAAGACCCTCGAGTGGATTTCGCTGTGTTGCGCTTGGTGATATGATAATGAACGCTACCTTTTACATTTCGCATAGTACACGGTTGAATCGCGAACTCGAAGCGCAAAAATTTAAATCGCAATTTTATTTAGAGAAAATATTTCAATCAATTTTTTTTCTTTTTTACTTCTATTGATTTATTTGCAATTTTTACAGAATATTTCCAAAAAAAAAAATGTTTTTTTATTATTAATTAATTAATATTGGAAAAAACTAGAAATAGAAAATTAATTAATTATTATTTATTTTCCCCTGAAATTATTTATTACTAATAAAATTAATTATTTGGGAAGAAAACAGAAATAGAAAAAACAATAATTATTAATTAATTATTTCAAAAGAAAACTAGAAAAAAATAGAAATAGAAATCGTTGAGAAATAGAGAAATTATGAATTTATTATTATTTTTCCCCTAAAATTATTTATTATTTATTATTTATTACTAATGAAAAATATGTTTTTCAGATGCGCCAATCCAATCCAAAAAAGCAAAATTCCAAGAAGCACACAGGTTGAAGAAAATAATTTCAAAGACTGTAAATACAGCGATGGAAAATGAATTGAGAGAAAAAGCAATGGATGGAAAAATGTCGTTAACTAATAAGAAAAAATCCGAATCGACGAAAAAATGATAATTTTTTGTATAATAATGTAAGTATTGTTACGTTAAAATAATTTTTCATCGATGAGAAAATGGAGGGAAAAAAGGACAATGATTTATAGAGTTTATTTAAATAATAAATAATTATTACAAAAATTACTTCGAAATTGTGAATTTTATTAACTGGAAAAAATTCATTTTTATCTAAAACTGAAAAAGACAAAAATATAAAATTAATATGAAAATATTATGAATAAGTAATAATTTTATGTTGATCGACAAGTTTTGAATGTTCAAATGAACGAAATATTTTTCATTAAAATAGTCTTATTAAAAAATTTTGGAACAAAATTAAAATTAATGATTTTCAATTTTAATAAACTTCTTCCGAGACAAAAGAATATTTTTTAAAAATTACATTAAATTTCTTCGTAAGAATTCAATTATCAATTTGCATATAAGTAATAAAATTTTTGAAAATAATTCAATTACATATTGAATTATTTTCAAAAACTTTAGTAAAATTCTATACAAGAATTCAATTATTCTCGTAAATAATAAAATTCTCTAAAAGAATTCAATTTTTTAAAATTGTAATACAATTCTTCCCAAGAATATAATCATTTTATAAAATTTTAATAAAAATGTTTCACAACAAATCAATTCCTTTCAATACAATTTTTAAAAAATTTCTCAAAAGAAATCAATGATTTTTAAATTTTTTTAGTAGGTTTGTTTAAAAGAATTCAATTATTTTTAGAAATAATAAAATTTTTCCCTAGAATTGAATTATTTTTAATATAATTTTAATAAAATTTCTCTCAAGAATTGAATTATTTTCTAAAATTTTTCTCTAGAACTGAATTATTTTTAATATAATTTAAATAAAATTTCTCTCAAGAATTCAATTATTTTCTAAAATTTTAATAAAATTTCTCGAAAGTAATTCAATTATTTTTAAAATTTTCAATAAAATTTTTCAAAAGGATTCAATTATTTTCTACAGTTTGATAAAATTTTTCTTAAGAATTCAATTATTTTCATAAATAATGAAATTCTTCGCAGGAATTTAATTATTTTCAATACAATTGTATTTATTAATAGAATTTCTTGAAAGAATTCAATTATTTAAAAAAAATTGCAATAAAATTCTTTATTATAGTAAATAAATTGAAAATTTGAAGAAGAAATAAATAAATTTTCCTTAATTTGAACGTTCAAAACTTTTGGAACATAATTTTATATAAAAAACGCAATTCTTATCCACCGAAACTACGTTCTCTAAAATTGCGTCGTATTTTCTTTACTATGAAAAGTATTTTATTTAATTAATCAACGCTGGAAAAAAGGAGAAAGGAAAACAAATTTCGGAAATAGGAAAAAAAATAGTTTATTTTCACAATTCTCTATAATTAATATTGTACATTAGTTGATGATAAAGAATATTCTGCTTGATAAAAGCGTCAAAATATAGAATTTCTTTACATAAATAATTTTAACTGCATACCAAGCGTAATTTTTCTGTTACTTATGGAAAACTAAAAAGAACTTTTTAAATATTTTTTTCCATTAAATGGCACAGTGCATTTTTTCCTCGTTGAAAGAATTTTTTCGATTCAATTATATATATTTTATTTATAAATTATTAACATATTTATTTTTTTTTAACAAGAAAATTAAACAGTAAAGAAAAGTTATCAAAAGATAATTTGATTAAAAAAATAAAAAATCTTAAAAGTTTTAAAACTATTAAAAATTATTAGATTTATTTATATAATAGATTTAGGAATGTATTATATAAATAAATATTTATTTATTAAAAGAATAAATTTCTCGAATTAAAAAATATAAATAAAATATATATATTAGTGTTTTTTACTATGAATATGGTAATAATTTTTACCAATATATTAATATCGTTAGGGATGAATTTATTTCTTTTAACTTTAACAATTATCATATTGTTAATTGTTAATTATTAATTATTAATAATTAATTAATTATATTTAAAAGCAGTTTGAAGGTCAGTCTATTGGAAGACTTTAGTTGAATTTGAAGAAAAATATTATTAACATACCTTCGGTGTCTTAATATTTTAATAATATATATTATTTTTAATAGTCTACTTTATTATAAATCACAAAAAAAATGATTCGTTGGTTGACATGCAGATTTTTTAAGCATGTGCGCTTTTTTCATTAAGTACTAGGTAATATTTATAGAATTAACAATTTTTTTTCTTGTATTTTTCGTCATAAGCCTCCTTCGGATTTTTCTAAGGTGACACTACCTGCAAAAATGAAATAATTATTTACTTCATTATTTTAATAGGTAGTTGTTTAGGTTTTTTGTTTTGATTCTTTTTTAAAATTTTGAGTCATAAAAATATAAAAACCTCTTTTAGACAAAAATTCAAATTTTTGGCTACAAAATTTTTTCTTAAAATATTTCTTGATCAACAAAAAATTAAATTATTTATTATTTTCAGTTAATTTACTGGGGAGGGAGAAAGGATTCTAATTTTAGTAAAAACACGTACTTACTACAAGCAGATGACCATTTTGTCTACATTTACTAATTGCCGGTGTCGAACCTGTCTTAAATTCTATAATACCTTCCTTTCCACTGACTAGTTTGTGTGACACTCTAAAAAAATAGTGGATGATTTAGAAAAATCAGTTATTATAAAAAGTATTTTTTTTCAATCTGATTTTAATTTTTTAAGTTAATTCATTAATTGATTAATTAATTAATTGACTTGAAAAATTAAATTGTTATTCACTTTATTATTGCAATTAATTACACGAAAATGAATTCTCAATAGTAATTATTTACAATTATTAGACAATAACTACTATTTTATTATTATTGTGATTTTTTTGTAATTAATTTCATTACGACGGTTAAAAGCTACTTACGATTCTTTATTGACGATATTGAGAATTTCGGGATTACTAGTAATATCAATGGCTTTCGTTAAAGCTTCTATTATGTGAGGAACCTCCAAAATTAAATCGCCCTTGAAATAAAAATTATTTTTATTTACTTATTTGTCAAGATTAATTTTCATTTTATTAAATTCAAAAAAAACTTTTTGGTATTAAATTAATTGAAAATTTATTTAGAAACTAAAATTCTAAATTTATTTACAAATTAAAATTCTAAATTTAGTTAAGAAGTAAAATTTTTAATTCAGAAACTAAAATTTTAAATATATGTACAAAGTTAAATTATAAATTTATTAACCAACAAAAATCCTAAATTTATTTACCAACAAAAATTCTAATTTTATTCACAAAGTAAAATTTTAAATTCAGAAACTAAAATAATAAATTTATTTAGGTACCAAACAAAATTCCAAATTTTACTATCGCTCAAAATTCTAAATTTATTTACGAACTAAAATTTTAAATTCAATTTCCAAAAAAAACTTCTAAATTTATTTACTAAATAAAATTTTAACTTCAGAAACTAAAATACTGCATTTATTTAAAAAATAAAATTCCAAATTTATTTACCAAGGAAAATTCCAAATTTTCGAATTCAGTTAATGAAATTAATTCTTCATTCAGAATTAATTGTAAATTTGATAAAATGAGAAATAATATTTAAAAATACCTTGTCCTTTTTCGAATCGGCCGGTATCCTGACAATCAACAAATTATCAGACTCTGCAGTAACGACCAATTCCTCGATTGATTTGTAAGGCAGTCTATGTTTCAATTTAAATGTTTTAATTGTGTCCAATATGTAAACAGCCTTTTCGGTTAAAATTAAAACCCTTTCCCTCGGCTTATAACCGTGACGATCATATTTAATGACTGGTGTCGCATACTGAAATTATTTTCAAATATTATTTTCTAAAATTTGAATCCAAAGACGCTCAATTAATTTATATGCGAAAAGAAAAACATCTTTCTTACCATTATACTCTCACCACTTGGAATAATATTGGCGACAAAAACTTGTTTGAGAGCTCTTAAATCTTCGCCCAATCGATCAACTTCAAATTTAGGTCCTAAACTTCTTGCGTAGGATTTCTTTTTATTCTTGAAGAGTTTCTCGGCGAGAATTTTTAGTTCAAATTGTTCTTTATCTGCTTTCGATAGGGACAATCTGTATTTTCTTGCCAACCACCTTTTGTGAATGTGTCTCAAGTGTTCCGATGCCTGCAAAATTATTTTTTATACTTCCCCTTTTTTTTAATTTAATTAATTAAATTATTTTGAATTGAATTTAAATTAATTTTAAATTGAATTAATTGTTGAAAAAATAGTTCTTTTTGTTGAATTTAATTAATTATTGTTAATTACAGTTAATAGGATCGATTACCTCTCGACAAGTGTGAGGACAGGGCATCCAACTGTTGTCTAAAACATTTTTTGGCAATTTTTTTGAAAGTCTTATTAGCCACTGACATTTGGCGAGTTCAATGAATGCCTCATTGTCACCGTTTGGCGATCCATTTCTGGTGATGAATCCATTAATGAATCTTTAATTTCAAAAAAATTGATTATTTATTTCTGAAAAATAATTATTATACCAGCAAATGCGCTGTTCGATTTTAATTAAATTCCTCTAAAGAATTCAATTATATTCAAAAAATTGTAATTAAAATTCTTTGACAGAATTCAATTATTACTTTTATAAATAATTAAAATTCTTCGCTAAAATTCAATTATTTTTTTAAATAATAAAATTCTTTGCGAGAAATAAATTGTTTTTATTAATAATAAACTTTTTCGAAGGAATTAAATTATTTTCATAAATAACTAAATTCTTTGCTGCAATTCAATTATTTTTTTTAATAATAGAATTTTTTGCTAAAATTAAATTGTTTTCATTAATAATTACTTTTATAAATAATAAAATTTGTAGCAAAAATACAAATATTTTTCTAAATAATATTTTCATTCAAAGGAATTTAATTATTTTCAAATATAATAGAATTTTTCCCAGGAAATCAATTATTTTCCATATTTTCTATATTTATTTAATTAATACAATTTTTATTATATTCCTCCAAAGGATTTTATTTTGTTTTCTAAAAAAATAATATTCTTGTTAAAAATTAAATTATTCTCATAAATAATAAAATTCTTAGCAAGAATTGAATTTTATTTTTAATACAATTTTAATAAAATTTCTCATAAGAATTCAATTATTTTTAGAAATTTTAATAAAAATCTTTGTAGGAATTTAATTATTTTCAATTTCAATACAAATTTTAATTAATTCCTCAAAAAAATGTAATTATTTAAAAATCTTTTTATAAAATTCTTCTAAATAATTGAATTATTTTCATAAATAATAAAATTCTTTGGAGGAATTCAATAATTTTCATAATTAATAGTATTCTTCACAGAAATTTAATTATTTTCAATCGAATGTTAATAAAAGATTGTTAAAGCAATTGTATTTGTTTAATAATTTTAATTTAATTCTTCGAAGGAACTCGATAATTTCAAGGGAATTTTGCTAAACTTTTGATCGAAATTTATCTATTTCTTCTTTAAATTAAATTTGGATTACATAATTTTGCTTCTCTATAAAAAGAATTAATTATAATTATAAAGTTTCTAAATGTAAAATTTAAGTTTCTAATTTTTTTTTTTGCAATCAGTAGTTTATGAAAATATTTTTCATTGACTATATTTCTTTTATTTTAACGTTCAAAACTTGTAGATCATAAAATTCTTGATAATAATTCAATTATTTTCGAAATTTAATTTTTTTCGAGAATTTTTTTTAATTGTTTTGAAAATAGTTGAATTTTTGCAAAGAATTTTATTATTTTTGAAAATAGTTGAAAATTACAAAAGTACCTGCAAATAATTTTATTATTTATGAGATTAATTGAAAATTGCGAAGTATTTTATTAAAATATTTCAAAATAATTGAATATTCAAATTTCAAATAATTTTGAATATTTTGAAAATAATAAAAATTTATTATTCAATAAGTACATTATTTTAAATTTTGAATCGGAAATTATTGAAAAAATGTAAATCGATATTATAGAGAATGAAAAATTTAGAAATTTTGATAAATCTTTTATTATTATTTATTTAATTTTTACCGGCATATTTATCGTTTTTGGTAAATTATTGAAATTTTAATATTTAAGAAAAGTCTTTTTTAAAAATTAGTTTAGAAATTATTTTGAGATTTTAAATATTTCTTTCATTTTTTTTTGCAGATTCTCACCTTCGAATAATTATCACAGCCTTTCTTCTTCTTTCTGCTTCGCGTTTAGCTTGCCACCTGCGAATATTCTTCTGTATTGTTATCGCAGCCTTTCTCATCTCGAGATATTTTCGTCGTTGCAATAAACCTTTCCATTTGCTTTGGATAATTGCAATGATCTCATGCTTCTTCATTTGGAAGGCATCTTCCGTTTCAAAGAGAGTCTTAGGAAAGCGTATAAATAGTTTTGTGCTGAAAGAAATTACATTTTTTCGCTTTTTACAATTTTTCAATTAATTATTCTTCTTTTATCAATAATTTCTATTTCTTAGAATTTTCCTTTGGAATTGTGCAGAAATATTTTTTTGTAAAAATATTAACAAAAAATATTTACTGCATTTATTTAATATTTAATATTGATTCAATAATTAATATTGATTCTATATTTAATATTTGTTCAATATTTAATATAATTATTTAATATTTATTTAATACTTATTTTTTCATAAATAAATTTGTGTTATTAATTAAAAATACTAAATAAATACAACTTTCCAAAGAAATTAAATTCGAGAAATGAGAATTAAAATTGAAAATTCAATTTCAAAAGAGAGGAAAATTTGTTGTCGCTTACTTGCCCATTCGATAATCATCACAATCGTAACCCAAATGTCGAACTAAAGTTTGAACACCGTCCTTCGCAGTGCCATCATAATGAGGCCATGTTTCTGAGCAAAGTGATTTGTAACGTTGCAAAAATTGTTCGTAAGGTTTTCTGTACGCAAAACCAGCCCTTCGAACTCGTAAATTCTCCATTAATCCCAAATATTTGACTTGGTGTAAAACAATTTTGTCATTAAATTGATCTGTAAAATTTTCAAATTCCATTAAAAATTAAATTATAATTTTCAATTTATAATTTTGTTCTTCAATAATTTTAAAACAAAAAAAATGTTTATTTTGTATTCCAAATTATTGAATTATTATTAGATAAGAAATCACTTACTCGACATTTTAAAATCATTTGGTTTTATACATCGAACGTAAGACGGTTCTTTTCCCATTAAAATATCAACGAGATTATTTAAACTGTTCTTGAATTGTGTTATTGCCGTTTCTGGTCGTTTTTTACTGCATAAATCCTTCTTGACATCGAAAACTGTCTGTTTGGAGAAAAAGAAAACGTTTATTTTTGCATAATTGGACGAAATTACACTTTCAAAGGAGAAAAAAATTATAATTTTTGAAATTCAACTTTTAAAGTGAATTTAAAATTACAATTTGTAAAATTAAACAATTAAATTTTTTTAAAACAATTAAAATTTAGCGTAATTTGTAAAATTATAATTTAAACTAAATTATCAAAATTACAATTTGTAAAATAAAATTTTCAAACTAAATTTCAAAAATTGTAGATCCAATTTTTGAAACACTTTTGAAAAATAATTTACAATTATGCGAATGAAATTTATAGTAATTGGAGATTTACCTTTATTATTGAATTCGTCGTATGGGACATAACTTCGCGCAAATCGCGAAACAAGAGATCATTGTTTTTCTCCAAAAATCCTCGTACATTGTACGTAACGTCTCCAGCATAATGAACTAATCTAAATTCCTGAAAAAGAATTTTTATTATTTAAAGATATTTCTTTGACTCGAATGAAAAATATTCTTTTCTTTATGTCAATTCTTACGTCGCGACCCATAATTTTTTGAGTCTGAATATCAGCTTTCATGTGGCTGATATAATGCGGATGACTATTTAAATTGGAATTTAATTTTTCGAGAAAACTCATGTCAGTTGGATCACCGGGCCGTAAACATTCCTCATCCATTAGAGATATAATTCCTGAAAAAATATTTATTTCGATTTATTGAAATTTTATTGAAATTTCGATATATTGCAATTTTAATTTATAAATATTTTCTATTTTTTATTATTTTTTAGAAAAATATAATCGAAATATATTCGAAATATAATTCATCTAAAATACGATTATATTTCAAAACAATTTTTAAAAGTAAAAATTAATTTTTGTTTAATAAATATTTGAATACTTATTTATTTGTCGACGAGGAATTAAAATTTCCAAATACTTACAATACCTTTTGAAATTTAATTACTTCTTAAAGATTAGAATTGCAATTCATTCAATTCTTCAAATATTTTTTTCAAATTTTAACTAAAAATTCTTTTTCAAAATCTATTCTTATCAAAAAGTTGTAGAATGGAATTATTTAAATACAAAAAACAGTGATAAATTAATTGATTATTTCTAAAAATTGCAAAAGATTTTTTTTTAATTTCAGATAAAAAATACCTTTGTACTTTTCTTCAATGAGATCACAGATAACTTTATTATTAAAATAATGAATATGCTCCCACTCGATTCCTTCTCTTAAATATTCCTCTTGCTCCGATTTTAATGTCAATTGAATAAAAAGTTGTTGTAATTTTTCATTACAGAAATTAATGCAAAACTGCTCGAAACTGAAAATTACAAAAATTTCATTATTTTCTTTTCTTTTCGATTTTATAATAATTTTGTCAATAGTATTCAATAATATTTGTCAATAATATTTTGTGGTACAAAATAATTTTATTTGTATTTATTATTATTATTTTGTTTCGTTTTTTCAATTATTAGAATAATTTCTGACAGATTATAAAAATTATTTTGCGGTGCAAAATAATTTTATTTTGTTATTTTATTATTATTTTGTTTTTTTTCAATTGTATAATAATTTTTTTGAAATATTTTTTTTGAGATAGAAATTTTGTACCACGAAATAATTTTGAATTTAAGTTTTATTAAATTTGGTTTGAATTTAAAGTGACCTGTTTTTTTGGAATATTTCGAAACCATAGATATCCAAAATTCCCATAACTACTGTTCGTTGATTTTTTGTTAAAGGTTGTAGGGATTTATTGAGTCGGGTCACTAGCCACGTAAATAATCTATCGTAAACTGCCTTTGCCAATGCATCGCGAGCATAAATGGCCAATTCTCTGTTTAATGGTGTAATTACAACATCGCCGTGTGCGTCTATTGTGCGATGAGTAAACGCCTTCGCCAAATCCCTCCCGTCACATCCTAATAACTGGAAAAGAAAATTTTCATTTATTCGTATTTTTATTCGAACCCTTTTTTTATTTATTCGAATTTTTCCTTATTCAAACTTTTATTCGTCTGAATTTTCGTTTCCTACAATTTCCAAATAATTAGTACGAATTTCTATTTATCTAAATTTTCAATTTTATTCAGAAAATAATTTTGAGAAGGAAAAATTTTATTTTCTATCAGATTATTTTGAATTTGAAATATTTTTTGACAATAATTATAGAAATATTTACTGTCTACTTTATGTGACATTTATAATTGTTATTTAATTATTTTGATTTTTTGTTCTAGATGGGAAATATTAATTTACCTTGGAGACAGCTTCGACTGAGGCTGGTTTGAGAATAGTGGCAACACCCTCAGTTTCAGTGAAACCAACATTTCCCACGTGTAAAACAGAAGCGACAATTGCAAAAAGATCATCTTGTTCTTGTTGAGAGATTTCCATTACTTTCATGGCCTCAATCACTTCTCTGTATTGACTAGCATCGTCGATGGTATCTATTGCACCTTTAGTCTAAAATTATTATTTTCATTTTATTATTCTTTTTATTTTTCATATAATTATTCTCTTTTTTGGGGAAAATTTTTCTTTTTTCAAAAACACAAATAAAGAAATAATTCTTTCATGAGGAGAGAATTAATTTCTCTGTTTTTATTATTTTAATGGAAACAATTTTTCTTTTCTATTTTTTATTTTTGCCCGCGTCTAAATTGAATAAATAATTAAATAAATTTTGTTTTGTTTTATATTTAAAAATAATTCTCGACTATTATTTGCATAAATGAAAAAGAAGAAAAATTTCCTCTCGAAGAAGAAAATTATGAATTGAAAATTAATTATAAACTTTTTGAAAATTTTTGAAATCTTACCCCGCTACTTAGATAGTAGTATGTATCCAAATTACGTTTGAGGTATAAATTACGTAAAACGTCGTCATTTGCTCCTGATAAAAGTTGATAAAATATATGGAAATTCCGTTCTCCTGTCGATTGATGAACGACTCTTGACTTTTCCAAGAGATAATTTAGAATATTTCCACCAACCGGGTCACCCTGTAAATTAATTAATAATCCGTTTGGTAAAATTAATATTTTTTCTCTCAAATTAATTACTACGACTCTAAATTAATCAATTCAAGAAATTAACTGAGAAAAATAATTAACTGAGGAAAATAATTAGCTAAGAAAAATAATTAACTAAGCCGAATAATTAACTAAGAAACGTAATTAACTAAAAAAAAAAATTTAAGAAAAATAATTCCCTATGAAAAATAATTATCTAAGAAAATTTTATTAACTGATGAAAATAATTAACTGAGAAAAATAATTAATTAGGGAAAATAATTAACTCAGGAAAATTATTAACTGAGAAAAATAATTAACTAAGGAAAATAATTAACTAAGGCAAATAATTAACTAAGAAACATAATTAAGGAAAATAATTAACTAAGAAAAATAATTAACTGAGAAAAATAATTAAGGAAAATAATTAACTAAGAAGAATATTAACAAAATAAGTAACTAATATTACTTTTATTGTAAAAATAATATAATTACTTATCTAACTAATTAATTAACCAATTAAATAATTTATTAACTAGAAAATTATTTAATTAATTAAACATTTGATTAACTAGATATTGAATTAGTTCAATTGATTAACTAGTCAGTTGTTTAATTAGTTAATTAACAAACTACCTAAATTAATTATTTCCTTAATTATTAATTAATTAACAATTTGTGAAAATTAATAACAATTCGATTGTGATAAAAATCTGTTTACCGTTTTCTAGTCAGTTTCCCGAGTGCCTAAATCGATAGTGCTTCGTTTATTACGTGAAAATATTTAAATTGATTGTTGCTATTAATAAATTGCATTACTACTTTGCTTTTATTTTTTACGTAATTATTTAATTACAATTATAAGATTTTGTTACCTGTTTATGGTCCTTTATGGACTGCGGGGAATTTTATTTCAAGAAACAAAAATTAATTTTAATTAACCATTTAATTTATCAATCAGTTAATTATTTTATTAGTTAATTCATAAATTGTTTTAATTTTTATTTTTACTAATTTTATTAGTAAATTATTTCAATAGTCAATTAATAAATTGAAATTAAATTAATTTATAGCAATTTTGCTAGTTAATTATTTTATTAGTTGATAAATAAATTATTTTGTTAGTTAATAAATAAATTATTTTGTTAGTTAATTAATAAATTATTTTGATAGTCAATTAATACATTATTTTGTTAGTTAATTAATAAATTATTTTTTTAGTTAATTATTTTATTAGTTAATGAATAAATTATTTTAATAATGAATGAATAAATTACTTTGTTAGTTAACAATTTAGTTAGTTAATTAAAAAATAAATGAATTTAACTTACATGAAAGTCGAATTGAATATCCATATATTTTCCAAATCGGGAGGAATTGTCGTTGCGATTAGTTTTCGCATTTCCGAAAGCTTCTAGAACTGGATTACTGCCAATCAATTTGACATTTACAGCTTCGACTTTTTTCTTGTGTCCAGTTGCAGCTGCTATAAATTCTAAAATTTTTTTCGACGCCTCAGTCTTTCCTGACCCAGATTCACCTGTAAAGTTTAATTAATGATATTTTATAGGACTTTTCTCTTTCTTTTTTGAATTATTCACGTATTTTTCTTTCGTCGAGAGAGAAATAAAGTTGATACATTTTTTTTAACTTATCAATTATTGTTGTTATTTATATTTATGATTTTTCTTATTTTTATTATGAAAAACAATTAAATACAATTATTGTATTTGCTTGTTTTTCTTTCTTTCTTTTATTTTCGATATTTCTCGTTAGTTGTGTAAACATTACCTGAGATTAAAATACACTGATCATGATTTTCTTTTGTGAGTGATTGGTAGGCGGTATCTGCAAGTGCAAATCTGCAAGAGAAATTCAAATAGAAATTTAAATGAGAAATTATAAATATTTTTTTTTCAATTTAGAAATTAAATTTAAATTACAAATTTTTAATTTTTAAATTAAAAAAATACTTGCAAATTCTCAAGTTTAATTGAATATTTTTTCACTTTAGAACTTTTGAATATAATAGTAAATTTCTGAAATTAATTTATTATCACTTTCAAAATTAATTCAAATTAAAAAACTTTAATATTTTCCCTATATTAAAAAATTCTATATTCATCTTAGCTAAAAATGTAAAATATTTTTAATTTAATTATTTTCTTACATGTGTGGAGGAGTTTCAAAAAAATTTCTTCTTTGATAATATTCAATTGTTTCCTGATCGTAAATTGGTAGTTTCTTATATGGATTCACTGACACTAGTACTTGTCCAATGTAGGTCTGTAATGAAAACAATTTCTGTTTAGTTCTTTTTTATAAATTTAATCAAGTTTTTCAAGTTCAATTTTGTTTCTGTTATTACATTCAGAAACATGTTTTATTTAAATTAAATAATATTTCTTCAAAACAAATTTGTTTCGAATTAAAGATATTTTTTTGACAAAAGTAAAAAATTTATTTGAGACAAAACAAAATTATTCCAAACAAATATTTCATTTGAACAAAATTAATTTAATGCAAGTAAAAATTATTTGAAGTAAATAAAAGTTATCTGTAGCAAATAAAACATTTATTTATTAAGTAGATAAAATTTATTTGAAGCAAATAACATTTATTTGAAGTAAATAAAATGTATTTGAATAGAAAAAAAATTAATTCGGCTCAATAAGAATATTTTTTATTGTAGTAATTTTTTTATTCAAAAATTTTTCCATTTACAAAAATTGGAGAATAATTTTAATTTCTAAAATAATTACTCACGTAAATAAGATTTTCACGAAATCTTCTACGTAGATTTTCAATAAAAGCTGCCTCACTTTCGTAGTCTTCTAATAAAACAAAATCCTGAACTCCAACACGATCTCTTTCATGTAATCCTCTTTCCATGGTTTTTGATTGTCTTTTTTCAGGGTAAACTTCCGGTTTAAAACCGGAAAAATTATCCGGCGAATCCGGTGAAACAGTATCTTCACTAAAAAAGACAATAAAAAATTTTTTTTATATTAAAAATAATAATTAATTAATTAATTTAGTGTGTTCTGTGATTGGCAACAATTATTTTCGAAGCATTTAATTCTTTTCATTTTTCATTGAACGAAATATTTTAAATAATACATTTTTAAATATTTAAAATATTTTAAATTAAATATCTTGAATATTTAATAATATTGTTTGCCAAAATGAGAGAAAAATTAAAATATTCCCTGTATGAAGATTATATTATTACATTATCATTATAATAATTATTATTATTATAATTTTAATCGATTGTACAAAATATTTAAATACTTATAAAATAATTGTTTTTATTTCTTTTTCGAAATGAAAATAATAAATCATTCCAAAAAGGAGAGTGGAAAATGTATATAAATAAATAAATACCACTAATCATTTATCTAAAAATATTTTACATTCAATTTTAGAGTTAATTAATCGAAGAAAAGAGCGCGATACTTTCTCACCTAACGAGAGATACCGTTAAGAAACACACCGTTCGTCTTGTCTTAATTAAACAATTTTTATTGCATTGAGAACATACACACACAAAAAAAAAAAAAAAAAGAAAATCATGACATTGTGAGTCAGGAGTAACAGTAGCAAATAACCGATTAGTATTCAACTCGCGCAGAATATATCGTTAAAGTGACAAAGAGAACTTTTTTTTTTATATTTCCCCCGAAGAGAATTGGGACGAATTAAAAATAAAAAAAATAAAAATAAAAATAAAGAAAATAAAAACCGAAAAATAGAAGATAAATAAAAAATGGTAGTTATTTATTATTTATACTAGATCTAAAGGTAGTCGTTGACTCTTTTTGAGTTCAGTGACTGTTCTCGGTTAGTTTACCATATATATAATTTTTCATGCCCCATTATACTCGTATTGCAAACGAAGAACTTTAAACCACACGTGGAGTCTGACACCGACTTAAGTACTTGCGTGTCGACTTAAATTGCCACAGTTCTTCTGTATCAATGTCATTAGTCACTAAATCTTTATATACAGGAAATAATTTCATTTTTCTCTTATTTTGGCAAAAATTATTATTATTTTCAATGCCTGGAAATGAATGTAAAAACTAATTAAAAGCAAGCAATTTGAAGTTTTCAATGTTTCAAGTGAACGAAAATTTTTTTCCATTTTAATATTTATAAAAAATAATTTTATTAAATTGTTTTTCATTTTAATATTTGTAAAAAATAATTTTACTAAAGGGTCAGACTATTATATTTCAAATAAAGTCGTTGTGGCCGAATTTTTAAAAAAAATTGTTTGATTTTTTTCTGTTTAAATATTTTTAAAAATTACTTTACTAAAATTCACTTAGTTGTAAATTAATTTCTTTAATGTAAAGAATAATTTTTTTTATAAATAAAAAAAAATAAATTAAAGAAAGTAAATAGAAAATCTCGTTATTCACTTTATTGTGAAAAAAACAAAAATATTCTGGTCTTTGTTAATTCTTTAAAAATATTGAAAATCTCAAATTGTCTTTGAATTTTTTTCTCACTTTAAAAACTTTTTTTTCTCACTTTAAACATATTATTGAAGAGTTGCAGTTGCATTTTTTATAAATAATTTAATTTTTGTATTTTAATAATTGAATTCACGAAGAATTTTCTAAAAAATATTAAAAATAATTATTTTAGAGTCGAATTTTAGTTGAAAATTTTAGAAAAATAGTTGAATACTGAAAGAATTATTAGTTGAAATTTTTGTTAATAATTTTCAAAAGGTTTCAAATTTAAATTTTTTAAAATATCAATTGCTATAGAAGTTTAAAATATTTTTTCATATTTATTTAAAACAAATTATTAAAGATGTAATTTTAGTTAAAAATTCCAGAAAATAATTCAAATTTTTTAGAATTACAATTTTGATTTTTAGAAATATGTAATTAAATTTCAAAAAGTTTTAAAATTTAAGATTAAAAAAAAATCAATTTCTATTGGAAAAAAATAATAGCTATTAAAATATATAACAAAATATTAGATTTTTGAAATATTTGAATTAAAATTGTTTGAGAATAATTGAATTTTCGAAAATAATTAAAAAATTTTCAAATTTTCAATTTCAATTACAATTTTCTTCGAAATTTCCAATTGTCGAAATTTTATTATTATAAATTTTAATAAATTTTATATTTTAAAGAATTTTATTGGGAAATTTTAAAATCAGAGAAATTCAAAATCAAATTCTTGTGACAACAGTTTCTTAATTTAGAATTTTTTTCAAGAAAAAAAAATATCTTTCGTAAGTAATTAATATTTTGTTTTATTGATTTTCATTATGAAAATTACAAGAAAAGCGTTTTCAAAAATATTTGCATAAAAATTTTTTAAAAAATAATTAAATTGCTAAATCATCTAACTTTACTTAATTAATTATTAATTAACTTTCCTTAATTAATTATTAACTTAACTTATTTAATCGTTAATTACCTTTATTTAATTAATCATTAATTAAATTAACTTAATTATTTTACCAACTTTATTTAATTAATCGTTAATTAACTTTGTTTAACTAATTATTAATTTTTCTTAGTTAATCGTTAATTAACTTTATTTAATTAATTATTAACTGTACTTAGTTAATCGTTAATTAATTTTACTTAATTAATTGTTAACTTTACTTAACTAATTATTGACTTAACTTAATTAATCGTCATTTAATTCTATTTATCTAATTAATCATTAATTAAATTAACCTAATTATTTTTTAAACTTTACTTAATTAATTATTAACTTTACTTAACTAATTTTTAACTTAACTTAATTAATCGTCAATTAACTTTATTTAATTAATAATTAATTAAATTAACTTAATTATTTTATAAACTTTACTTAATTAATTTTTACTATTTTGTAATAATTATTATCAGAGTGTGAATGATATAATTATGATAAATAGCATAAATAGTTATTAAATTATTAAACTTGAGGTTTTTTGTATTCAAATAAATTATAATTTTAATAAATTTTTGTTGATAAATTTTATTGAAATGATTAAAGTCGAGTGGGCAATTCGATCTTGAAAACTATATTCATTAGGAGGGTAAATTGAACTTTTAACATAGAAAACATTTATTATATTTGCTTTCATGCAAACTTCTAACCCGTCCTTGTGGACATTCGCGATAAGCTGTAGATTAGATACAATATTGGAAATGTTCATAATATATACGAAGCCACTGATATGAACAGGTAGTTGTAAAAAAATTCAAGTACAAAATAAACTGTTTCTTGGCAATTTATTTGAAAATATTTATTACATAATGTTGAAATATATAATTATCTCCAACTTATGGAAACTTAATGTACTTTAGCGCAATGTTTGTCAATAACACTTTTATTTACATCTAAATATAAACATAATTAATTTAATTTTAATATTTTAATATTATATTAATATAATTAATTTTTATATTCTCGTATATTTTAAATTTGGATCTAATTATAAATATAATTACAGTTTAATTATATCATTAAATTTAATGAATTAATTTGTAATTATGATTTAATTGAAAAAATATTCTAATTAAATTTTATTTCCATTATAGAATTTTAAAATCGAAGTTTTCTGGGATAAAAGATCGATTATTTATCAATTTTTTTCGAAAAAATTTAATAGATCAGTAGAGATATAAAATTTTGTAAATTTTATAATAATATACTGATTAAAAAGAATTTTAATCAATGGCTTGAATTAAAATTGATAAAATTGCTTTTTATCTTAACAAGGGTCAATTAATTAAATTTTTTTTCGATTATTCACTATAAACTTTATCGTTTTGCACTCACCCCATTTTTTCGAATAATGAATTCCAAATGTAATTAATGTGGATTAATTGGATTTCTGTCTGTTCACATTTAATCTCGAGGGTACTCGCGCGATTATCACACTGACGATTCCAATATTAATTTTCTCTACTAAAGAAGATCCAAACATTAAATGTATCGTCTTAAGATAAGATATGCATTTACGTGGTATAAAAATTTATCTTGATTGGCCGGACAAACTGATTGTTTTCTAATTCAATTGCAAAAAAAATTATCAATAATCCACCCTTTTTGAGATTTTTTTGCAGACGAATTTTCCCTCAGGAAAATAATTGAATTTTTTGCATAAGAATTTTATTAAATATTTTGAAAATAATAAACAATAATAATTATTTGAACTTAAGAGAAATTTTAATAAAATTTGAAAGTTTAATGTATTCAAAAGTTGAAGTTGATATTTGAAAATAAAAAATAATAATTGTTTAAACAAATTAAAAATGCGTCAAAATTATAAATACCTATTAATTATTAAATTAAATTAAAAATATTAGCTTTTCGTTGGAACCGTTTTTTTGTAATTATTTCGTAAAAACAGTTTTTATTGTAAACAATAAAAATGTTTACTAAATAAAAGGAGAGAAAGTAATTCTATTTTTTTTACATTTTTCTAAAATAAAAATAAATAATTTCATGTCATTGTTTTTTTCTCAAACATTTCTGAGGAGAATAATACAAACATAAATGTGTTAGATTCTCGATTACTCGTTGCGCACAACGATCCGTGAAATTATGCAATTGCAAATTCACTTTTACGATCTAGATCACTTTTTCTTTTGCAGTCCGCGCGCACCACACCCGCGTGATATATATATCCTCTCTTTTTTTAACAGGCGAATATGTAAAAGAAAAACTTTCGATTTGCACTATTAGTGAAATAAGAAAAAAAAACAATTCTCATTAATTCTTTGAATTATCGTTTACTTGTAAACACTTCTATTATTATATATTTTCTTGTAATTAATTCTCAAGTCTATAAATATATATAAATAATAAATCACGCAAATGAATAATAAAAATTTGTTTACTATTGTAAAATTTCACTCCTTTTTTAATGTTCAAATTTAATTGCTGAATAGATGTAATTCTTTAGTAATGTAAAAGAAAAAAAAATGAAATGTTTACAAGCAGATGTAAAGAATTTGGTGACAAATTGTAAATTGTTTGATAAAAAAAAATTATGATAATAATATTAATGAGGAAAATAATTAAACTATTAATATAATAAATGTTATTAATAATTTTCGGAAAAAAATGTTTTGATTGAAGAAAAAAAGTTAGCATTGATAAATCACAAATTGCGCACGAATAATAAACCTTCCTCACAAAGGGTTAAATTTAGAATGAACAGATTGTCACTTCTTCTATATTCTCAACTTCTCCCACTTATTATTTTTTTTCACTTGTCTCTTTACCTCTTTATTTATCTGAATTTTTTTTTTAATTTTTAAATTAAATTCAAAATAAGTTTAATTTTTTTATTTCAATTATTTTCTATAATTTCTATTATTTTTATTAAAAGACAATTATTTTGTTGCAGGAAAATAGTAAAACGAATATCGAACAAAGTGGTTTTGAATGAAAATACATATGCTCCAAAGTTTCAAAAACTAATTGATTTTCTCCTCAGGGAGTCAATTAAAAAAATTGTCACAAACAACAATTAAAATTGATGAAACAAAAAAATTACCAAAGTCTATATAAAAATTAATAAATTGAAAGCAATATATTTCAAATAAAAATATAAAATATTACAATATAAATTAAGAATAAAAAGTTCATTTAAATTTGAAAATATCAAAAAGTATTCAAATTTCGTATTTTTATTAAAAACCACTTGTCTGAATTTATTATTATGCAAACTAGGTAAAAAAATTTTATTTATACAAATATCAACTTCAATTTTTCAATAATTACAAATTTGAAATTTACCAAAATTAATTTCTTAACTAATTAATTAAGTTTAATAAAATTCATCGAAACAATTCAATTATTTTCCAAAAGTGTAATAAAAATCTTCGCAATAACTGAATTATTGTAATTTATATTCGTAAATAATAAAATTCTTCGCAGGAATTTCATTATTTTTGAAAAAAAATTAATAGAATTTAAAAAAAAAAGAATTGAATTATTTTCAAAAATTTTAATAAAATTATTTGCAGAAATTCAATTATTCTTCATAAATAATAAATCTTAATAAAATTCTTTAAAAATATTCAATTATTTTCAAAAATTTTATTTATTTATTAACGGGATTAGCCGTTTAATAAAAACTAAATAATTAAATAAAATATTTAATTAAATTAAATAATTTTAATAAAATTCTCCGAAATAATATTCAATGACTTTTAAAAATTTTAATAGAATTTTATGCAAGAATTAAATTGCATTGTAAATAATAAAATTCTTCTCAGGAATTAAATTATTTTTTGTAGAAAATAAATATTTCTCTACAGTATTAAATTGTTTCAAGAAATTTTAAGAATGTAAAAATTAAAATTTTTAAAAGAAATTATTTTTAACGCACAGTTTTAAATAATTTACAAAAGAATTAAAAGAATTCTTCTCGAAACAATTTAAGGATTTTTAGAAATTTAAATAAAATTCTGTAGAAGGATTAAATTATTTTTTGGAAATATAAATATAATAGAATTTTTCACAGGAATTCAATTATTTTCAGAACAATTTTAATAAATTTTCTTCACTGAAATTAAAATAAAAATTCTTTTGAATTATTTTAAAAACTTTAACAAAATTCTTCTAAAGGATTCAGTTATTCTGCGAAAAATTATCAAAAAAAAAAGATAGGAAACAAAAAAGAAAACAAAACTAAACTTCAAACTTAGAACAGAAATTCGGAATACGATTATAGTTATTAACTAATTAGTAAAATTATTTGAACAATAGAGAAATATTATTAAATTGTCTTATTATTAAAAAATTTTATTTATTAAACAACAAAAATAGGGGGCAATTTTATAATCATATTTTCAAATATTTTTATTTGAAAAATCATTATTTTATTAGATGTAATCAATTTACCTTTGAATCATATTTTTCCTTGTCTTTTTGCGTCAGTTTGTTTAAAATATTTTATATAATACACAAATATTGTTTTACTTATATATCACTTTTATTGTTACATAACATGATAATAATTTTTTTTTTGTAAAATTTCGCGCGCGCTTTAAAATTTTTTTTTTTTTATTATACACAAAAATGAGTCAGTTTTAAAAAACAATTATAAAATTTGTTTATTTATAAATATAGGTATAAAATATGAAAAATCAACTTAATTATGTAGTATAAGTAAATGCTCGCGGGGGTGTTGAATAATTTATTATAATTATTAAGTGTATATTCACAATCACGAAAGTTTCTTTTCTCTTACACCTGTAATTATTGTTACTGTATATTATAATAAAAGATTTATCACCGCACCTGAGACAGAAGAAACTTCTCTTCATACGAAGGCCAATTTCATTTTATCGATACAAATCATGCGGCTATTAAATTTCAACAAATTGATGTTAATTAATGTAATCAGATTAAACGGAAATTTGTCACTACGATAAAAATGTACATTGGCGTGTTTTATTTTTTTTCTTTTATTTATTTATTTTTTTTTTTATAATACAAATTGAGAAAAAAAAATTGATTTTCAATTCTGATTTTAATCAACTTTAAAAAATTTACGTCGAATTTTATTAATTTTCAAAGGTCAGTTTACTTCTTTACTTTTTTTATTTATTTTTTTATATTTAGGAATTGGACGTAATTTTTTTTTAATAAACAAAATGAAATTGGCCTTCCGAGGTCTCTTACGACTTTAGTTTTATGTTGTAAACGCGAGACGACTGAAAAGAAAATTATATCTGCAAAAGCATTTATTTCGTGACCCCATATTATTGATATCTATGCAGACGAAAAAACAGTTCATTTAAAATATTGTATACATATACATTTTATTTGCGTGACGAATTGGAACAAAGGAATTTTTATTTATAGACCGTAAAAGAATAAAAATTATTTCTTTTAGATCTAACAATAAACTAATTGTTACTATTGTCGATAAATATTTAACATTTGAAATAGAAAAAACGTGATTTTAATGTTTCGAATGTTCAAATGAACATTTTTTTATTTTTTGCAATTTGTGTTAAACAATTTTGATGAAATTCTTTTTAAAAAATCATTATTTTCAAAATTTTTTAAAGAATTCCTTAAAAAAAATTCAATTATTTTCAAAAATTCAGAAAAAATACTTCGTAACAATTCAATTATTTTTATGAACTATAAAATCCTCCTTAAGAATTTAATTATTTTCATAAATAAAAGAATTCTTAGCAAGAATTAAAATATTTCCATAAATAATAAAATTCTACATAAGAATTCAATTATTTTCAATACAATTTTAATAAAATTTCTCGAAAGAATATTATAATTATTTTTAAAAGTATCATTTAAATTCCATTATTTTTAAAGAGTTTTAATAAAAATTAAATTATTTTCAACAATTCTAATAAAAACTTCTTTGCAAAATTCAATTATTTTTATAAATTATAAAATTCTTGTCAAGAATTAAATTATTTTTGTAAATAATAAAATTCTTCTGAAAAATTCAATCATTTTAAATACAATTTTAATAAAATTTCTCTAAAAGGTTCAATTATTTTTAAAAATTAGAATAAAATTTATTTTTCTAAAGAATTCAATTTTTCTTAAAAAAAGGTAATTATTTACAAAAACTCTAAAAAAAATTGTTTAAAAGAATAATTAATTTTCTATGAATAATTTAAAAAAAAAAATTTTTAAGAAATTCTTAAAATTCAATTATTTTCCATATTTTTAGTAAAAATTATTTTTAAAAATTCCTTTATTTCTAAGGAAATTGAAATAATTTAAAAACGAATTCTTTATCAAACAATTCAATTATTTTAAAGAATTTTAATAAAAATCTTGACAAGAATTAAATTATTTTCAATGCAATTTTAATTACATTTTCCTGAAAGAATTCAATTATTAAAAAAAGTGTTGATAAAATTCTTAACATGAATTCAATTAGTTTCATATTATTTTATAAATACTTTACAAGAATTTAATGATTTTCAGTACATCAAAAATTTAATTATTTCTGAAAATAATTGAATTCTCAAATAGAATTTTATAGAACTTTTTTAAAAAATTGAATTTTTCACTTTGGAAAAATTGGACCAAAAAGAATAATATAAGGAACTTTGCTTTGTCAGATTCAATTGCTTGAAATTTGACCTTATTTTTTAACGAGTAGGAATTTTTTTAAGCAAATGGTGTGAATAATTTTTTTTCCCACCTAATTTTAGAGTAACTTCCTATAATTTTTTTTATGCTCAAATTGTAAAATTATTTAATATTTTCTTAGAATTTCAGATTTATATGTTACAAAATTTTGTCACGAATTTATAAAGTATTTTTTTTCGATCAAATTTAATTATTTTGTGCCAATTTAGTTAATTACCAATATTCTGCTAAATGTCAATTATTTAACAGAAGGAAAATTCGATAGAATGAAAATAAAAATTTGAATAAATAAAATATATCAATAAAAATAAAAAATTTACTTAAAGACAATTTTAATGAAATTAATTAAATTAATTAAAATAATTTATTAAATTAATTAAATTAATAAAATTAATAAAACGAATTTTAATAAAATTCGAGACAAAAAAATTTACTTAAAGACAATTTTAATGAAATTAATTAAATTAATTAAATTAATAAAATTAATAAAACGAATTTTAATAAAATTCGAGACACTAGAATTTCGAATTACTTTTTTTCGTTTTTGAAAATATTCCCGTTTTGTAGCAAATAATTGAAGGAACGAAAAAAAAAATTTTAAATTGAAAATAAAATTTTTAGCACTTTGATAATTAAAAAATTTTATTTTGTGAATTCTTTGTGTCTTTATTTCTGTACTTTTGTGATTTATGAAGTGGATTTCGACTCTAAATTTAGCAAAGTCATCCGTTTAAGTAGCATTTGTAAGACAAAGTGTTTTTTTTTTTTTTTTTTTTTTTTTTTTTTTTTGAAGTAGATGTAAAAGATACTGCTTCCAGAAGCTGAGTCACTCACGTGTTCATGAACCTGCCCTGGTGTGTGACTAAGAAAATCTCTTTCAGTTATTGTGAAAGTTAACTAGATGCTTATAAAGTCAAGAGGCTTCATTTGTCCATTCTTATATTTTATTATTGCTTAAGTCATTCATAAATTTAACTCTCGTGAAACAAAGAGAAAAATACTCTCGATTATTTTATTAGTTGTTATTTAATATTTTTCCCTTTTACGAAATTTAGAAAATTGAATTTAGGAAACAATAATTTTCAATTTGGAAAATCTTTAGTTTTGTTATTTATTCGATTGTTATCCAATAATTTTTATTTCGTTATTTATTATTTGGTTACTTATTAATGAGAAAAAGGAAATTTTTTTAATTGTAATTTATGCCTTGTGCAAATACCCTGATGTGTGTGTTTTTTTTTCAAAACAAGGGAAATTTAGCAATTAATATACCTGCATTTCTTGTTTATTTGAAGATGACAAATATCAGTTGACATTTTATCAGACGATGTGAACAATTAAATGTTGTACATAGAAGAGACTGTGACAAAGTGATTACTGCATTTTTTGTCATGAAGCAATTAGGGTCACGTTTATATTCACAACGTTGTGGCACAGTTTGTCATTTCGTAATCCTATATAAATGGATCGATAGCTTTTTAAACCATAGTGTATGTGACAAAATAATAGATATTTTAATGGAATTTATTAATCCATAAATGAATTTTCTTTTATGAGAATTTTTATTCAGTTCCTTTTAGCTGAAGAAGAAAATAAATAATGCTTTTTATGAATTTTTACGAATTTGGATTTAATTGTGTTTAGTTGAAGAAGCAAATAAATAATGTTTTTTATTTTCTACAACAAAGAAAAATTATACATAATAACAAACTTTATTTGAATCAATGAATTAGAAACAAATTTAAGATGTGAAGTGCAAATTTAAAAATCTCGGATCCAATATCCTTTTTTAATAAATATTAAAATTTTTTCCAGAAATTCAATTATTTTCAAAAATTTTTAAAAAGTTATTGTCAACATTTCAATTATTTTCGAAAATTTTTGAAAAGTTATTTTGTCAACATTTCAATTATCTTTATGAATAGCAAAATTCTTTTACAAAATTCAATTATATTCAGGAAATTTAATAAAATTCATTGCAAAATTCAATTATTTTCATAAATAACAATATTCATCACATGAATTCAATTATTTTCAAAATTAATAAAATTCTTCGCAGAAATTCAATTTTTTTTTTTTAAAATGTAAAAAGAAAGAAAGAAATGTCATCAACATTTCAATTATCTTTATAAAAGAATATCTCAATTCAATTATTTTCAGGAATTTTAAATTAATAAAATTCATTGCAAAATTCAATTATTTTCATATAAATAATAGTATTCATCACGAGAATTCAATTAATTATTTTCAAAAATTTAAATAAAATTCATGGCAAAATTTCAATTATTTTCAAAAATTATTCTTAATTCAATAATTTGTATATCTGTTATTTTAATAAAATTTCCCAAAAGAATTCAATTATTCAAAAACAATTTTGACAAAGTTCTACACAAATATTCAATTCTTTTCTAAAATAATAAAAATTTCACATGAATATAATTATGAAAAATAGAATTTGCATAAATTTTTTCCAAAAAAAATAAATTGTTTGAAACTTTTTTTTATAAAATTCTTCGCAGTAATTTAATTATTTTCATAAATAATAAAACTCATTGCAGAATTTAAATTATTTTTCATAAAATTTTAATAAAATTCCTCGAAAAATGTAATTATTCTTAAAAATGTTATTAAAATTCGTCGAAAGAATTCAATTATTTAAAAATTTGTTGATAAAATTATGTCTAAGAATTCAATTTTAAGAAATATTTAATTATTCAATGAATTATCTATGTTTGCATTTAAGTAATTGAATTCTCGTAGAATTTTGTAATAAAGTTGATTAAAAATCAATTAATTGATTTAAAAATTAATTTCAGTGAAAGTTTTAAATAATAATTGAATTTTGGAGAAGTTACTAACAATTTTTAGAAATAATTGAATTTTGTGAAGGTTTCAAATTATAATCTTTGAAAATTTCAATTTTTCATACTTTTAATTAAAAATTCTTATGGAACTGATTTTTTTCAAAAAGCTTAATCGAAATTTTTTAAAATTATTTCAAGTTTTTATTTTCTATTAATAAACAGTAACCATATTTTAAATTTTTTACAATATAAAATAATGATTTTATCACTCGGTAACCTTTAATTATTGTAATTACAATTGGTGTTTTTGAATAATTTTACAATTAAGGAAATTCGTAAATAAATGTAATAGAAATTTTTTTTAGTATCTAATAATTTACAGAGTAAATCAGAATTTTTTTTATGGTCGGGTAAAAAGTCAAAATTTTGTCTAGAAATCAGGGAAAAACAAAATTTAATTTTTGTCGCAAACCAATATTAGCAGTCTTTAAATATTTTGTACT